TCCTCCTATTCTCACTTTTTTTTCTATTCTTTTCTTTTTATTTTTATTTTTTTTTTACCATTAAAAATAAAATTTCCTTTTTTTATAAGCCATAAATTAGTATATATATATGAACATGAATCAAGAAGTTATCGTAATATCCTCAACAAGGACTTTGAAGTTCCGAGTTTAGCATCGGTAGTCAGTCTCTCATAATCGGAAATATGAGCTCATTCTTTAAATATCATGCTTGCTTTCCATTTATCGTCGTCTTCCGATAAAACAACGATATGTGTGTTTAATAGGATTGACGATTTTGTAATCAGATTATTATACTCATTTAAATTCAATATTTTCTTTTTCTCTCTCTTTACTTGATTCATCCAAAAAATATTACCTTGAAATTAATATTTCAATTTTAAATTAATTATTTGAATATATATTAACAATTTTTAATAATTTTAATTATTATCGAGTGAACTTCAAAGTTACGATTGTCAAAATTAATTCAAGAATGATGAAAACAAAATTTGTTTTATTTTTTTTTTTATTTTTAATTTCGTTAAAATTACTGGAAGAAATTTTCTTTCAACGGCGAGAGAAAGTAAACTAAAAATCGTAAAATAATCGATCGCTAGGATACGCAAGGCACTCGAAAACCGAACCAACATGGAGGATGACCGAGTATCCTTATTGGAGCAACAGCTAGCACAGGCTAAATTGATTGCCGAAGAGGCGGATAAGAAATACGAGGAGGTGGGTCACGTACGCCAGAGAACAAAGAACACTTTTACAACCAAAAAAAAATATATATATATATTTGCATACGACCTTTGTTCCTTTCCCGATAAGAGTCGAACCAAAGAAAAATTTCCTAAAATCTTGTGATCGACATTATTATTAGATCAAAATTATATAATTCAATTCTATACGTATAATCAAAATGAATGAATATTTTTTAGTTCGACTCTTCACTGGATCAATTATTTTAGGTACTCGTCGGTAAGCTGAGCAGAAATTCACCTAGGATGTACTCGAGAAAAAACAATTAATTAATTTATTATTAATTATAGATATATATATATAATATAAGTTATCATTTCTTTTATTTTTCATCTCTCATTGTCATAAATTATTTATACTCCGTGTGAATTATTGTATAATTTTGAATTCTCTATAGCACACACACACCGAGTATATTAATTAAATATTATTACAATGAATTTGTTGTAATTGTAATATTTGTCTGTTGTGTCGTGTTTTATCGACATGTTTCCACATTTAAAGAGCCCGCAAGATTCTCGAGAACCGCAGCTTGGCGGATGAAGAGCGTATGGACGCCCTTGAGAATCAGTTGAAGGAGGCAAGGTTCCTAGCCGAAGAAGCTGACAAGAAATACGATGAGGTTTGCGAGCCCACGAGTTTCGTGCGTGCAAGCTGCAGTGACAATGATAATAATCACGATAATGACGATGCCGTTAACGATGACGATGATGGTTCCTAGTTGATAATCCTAACAATAGTGCCTAAAAATATCCACCCTAATTTTTTATTTCTTCGTCTCTTTCTTCTTCGTCTACTTTTTTTTCTTTTTTTTTTTAATTCCATCTTTCAATCTTCGCCCACTTTACTTTACTTCGATTATCTATTTATCTATTTATATCGAATAGATAACAAAATTAGATGATCTACTATATCCTAATCAAACCCCTAAGTATCCCATGATGTCGATAAACATTTTTTTCCTCCATTGTTTTTGTGTCTTCAGCGCGAAATCGATAGAAAATATTGGTTGCTGAATCTTTTCGACGAATTTCTCATTTTTCCCGCCCGTTTTGTCCGTTTAGTTCGAAACTTCAAGTGATAAAAATAACGCGGGAGGAAAAGTTCTTTTTTTTAATATGATAGATACTTGATCTGTGATGCCAAAATGATATAAAAAAAAAAAATATATATATAATCGTCGACCTGTTGATGATGATGATGATGTTGTTGTTGGTAATGTTGTTATCGTTCGATGTGTAAACGGTTCGCGAAATGAATCGAAAAAAGAAAAGTGCAGTGATTACGAAATGTTTCTTCTTCCTCTTCGTGAATTTAAGAGGAACGAAGATAACTTCGTTGGAATGAGTGATAGAAGCGTCTGTGATTTTATTTAAAAAAAAAAAAAAATAAGGGATGGAAAAAGTGTTTTGTTTAAAAAAAAAAAGAAAAAAAGAAAAAGTGTCCGGTATGAACATCGAACATTTTGTTTCATTCTAATTGAACAACGTTTAAAATCATCATGAAATTTGTTCGCGATTCTATTAGTGTTTCTTATTTCTTATGGGGTATTTTGTTGGTTTTTTTTCACCCCTCTTCTTCTGTGTTATATTACGGAGAGAAGAAATCGTTAAAAAAAAAATAGAAAAAAAAAGAAAAACGTATGGTAGAAAATAATTTAATCATGGTGCTGCTTTCGTCCAAAGACAGGACATTTATTCTACACTTTATCAGGACTTAAACATTCTCACGTTATTTGTTGATTATATAAATTTACTTTTTTTTCTTTTTTATGAAATTCGGAAAGTTTATTCGTGTGAAAATTGATATTTAAAAAGCGAAGGAAAAAAAAATCACGACAGGGGTCTCAGAGACAGTGACCGTTCTTTTTTGTGGTAGGTGTCCTGTGAAAAATGATTGCTTCGAAATTACAGAGATGCCAACAAAATATAAATAGAAGAATATAAATAAAATGTAAAAGAAAAATAGAATTACAAATTAAAGAAAACTAAATTTTTTTACTGAACAAAAAAATTCGAGTTAGAATTCGTTAACGAATAAATATGTTTTCCCCCCTTCAGTTTTTATTTCTCTGTAATTTCAAGTAATTCACGCGTATTAATCATTCCCCAATTAAATTCTCCAATTACGACTTCTAGCGTCAACATCGTTGTTGTTAATCAAGATTTTTTTGCATTAAAAAACTAACGATGCCGTGTGAGTGAATTTTTAACATAAGATTTGCAGTTTCATTGGTGATAATCATCAATAATACATAGACCCCCACTACGGTAGTGTTGTTAGATCTACGACTACCGGATATACGTCTCCTGCCATTAATTATTTCTAATTAACGATCTAACCAATGGTGTTGTTACAGTTTTTTTAGATAGATGCTTGTATGCGTGCGTTTTTATTGCTATGATTTATTCTAACGAATTGAAGATTTTTAACTTGTCGATCGAGTTTATAGAAGCCATATTTTTTAAGCGTTTATTATTTTTAATTTTTTTGTTTATTTTAATAAAAATTTCTTACGCTTTCGTACTTTCCAGCAAGCATGATTAATTTTCTTCTGTTTTTTTTTTCTTATGTATTACGTGATTATAAAATTAATAAAAATTCAAACACATACATTTTATTCGATGACAGTAAATTTATTTTATTTTATTATCAATTAATAAATAAAAAAAAATAAAACTACCTAATTACAGGTAATTATTTCGCTTTTATAGCAGATTAATTAATAGCACCGACAATGTTTCATGTTTTTCAAGGATGAAACAGTTTAACGCGTGCGTTACGTCATGCTTGCTTGGAGGTTTGTGCATGATCCACAAAAAGATTATTATGGACGAGAATAAATGAAATTTTGTGTATAATATAATTTATAAATACGACTCCTATACATATTTTTACTCCTCCACAATAATCGAAATGTGTATCAATATTGTTTTATAATCCTTAAAAAAAAATAAAAACTATATAGAAAAAAATAAAAACGTGATTGGAAGAAAAAATCGATATTAATAATAATTTAATTTATTTTAAATTTGTGTAAACAATACCAAAACCGTTATATTTGAATTATTTCAATTCTTAAATAATCTCAATTCTCTTCTTCCAATCGCGTTTGATCGAAACTAAAGATATTAACGTATTCCTGAAAAAGAAATAAAAAAGAAAAGCTTAAAAATAACGTGTGATGAACGAATGGAATTCGATTTAACCCCGATTGACAAAAAAAAATTGCAAAAATTGGAAAAAAAAAAACAAAGAAAAAGAAAAAACAAGAAAATAATAATCCTAACACACAGAGAACAAATAGTAGGTGGGAAGAAACGAGTGTATGTGTCGTTTATATACAGGTTGCCCGTAAATTGGCCATGGTCGAGGCCGATCTTGAGCGTGCCGAGGAACGCGCCGAGGCCGGAGAGTCGTAAGCATCCCTTTTTCAAAATCCGAATAATTTTTTTTTTCTCTCTCTCTCTTTCTCTGTCTATTCATTATTACGTTTTTTATTTTCCCCATCTCCTTCCAAAAATCATTCGCCCAACAACAAACAACCGTTCTTCCTTCGCCTTTTCTTTTCCCTTTTTCTTCTTTCGCTCGGTGTGAACTCAAACCCGATCTTTCTAACGAATGTTGCAAATGTTTTCTATTTCGAGTTTTTGTATTTTTATGCCTCGCACCTTCACTCACCCCCTGCCCACCTTTTGCCATCATTCACCACTATTACCACTATTACCGTTTATGCTCACGAAAAATCATTAAAAAGACAACGATCAAATGAGTAATAAAAGAAAAAAAAAAGAAAATGTTTTTTAGAATATCTTTGATGATGTGCTCGCTCGATTTTTAGCCGCTATGTTTATTAATTACGTCATCTCGATGTTGTTCTGCTCAATGTATTTTATTACATCCTGAGAAATATTGTCTATAATTATTTTTAAATGATACTTCTCTCTCTTTCTCTCTCTCTCTCTCTCTCTCTCTCTCTCTCTCTCTCTCTCTTTCTCTCTCTTTCTATTTTTCTATCTTTATCTTTTCGATTAATTTGTTTTCGTCTATGACTTTTTTCCCGCTGCACGTGCGACGTTATTATTATTAATTCTTTCACTTTCAGACATTGTCGTAATGACACGATATTTATTGCGTTTATGTATGATTGTGTGTGCGTGCGTATTCAAATTATTTCGTATGCTTATACAACACTAATTTAAAATATGCGTTCGTCTAAGGAAATCAAATTTTACTTTATACTTCGCGATCAATTTGTTTCATTAATAATATTAATATACCGTAATTATATATAAATCTTAAGTAAATAAACGTGATTTCCCTAGAAGTATGTTCGTGACCAATTACAAGCGAGAGAGATTTTTTTTCTTCATAAAAATACAGGGTGGGATTATTAAATCGAACGGTAATACTATTTAAAAGCATGTTATTCTATTGAAACAAAAACAAAAAATAAATAATATTAAAATAAATTATTTTACCACTTATACACATATACAATTAAAAAAAAAAAAAAAGAAATATTTTCCACACAAAAACATTTGAGTTTTCTAATTAAAATATCTTGCCGACCCTGCATTTATGCAAAACCCTTATGGAATAATTAATTTTTTCACATGGGATTCAGATCAACGTGTGAGACAAAGTCAAAAAAGAAATTTGTTCTCTCTCTCTCTCTTTTTTTTGGCCACGAATAAGAGGCAAAGCGCAGCCGCAATGTAATGTTTATTTATCACACGGCACGGAGTGCACCGCGAGTGTCATGAATAATTTAACAGCTAAAGACGAGACATAAGGAGGACGAGGAGGAGGTGGAAACATAAAAGAAAAGCAACAACCATGCAAAGGATGAGGATGAGGATGAGATGGAGACAAGGAGGAGTCAGTATCAACGTGTGTGTGATAGCTGAAGAATTAATATCCCCTAGCGTCTCGTTTTATTCTGCATGCGAGACTGAACGTTAACGCATATACATATTCATATGTTCAAACAAGATTTCTAATTTTTAAATTATATTTTTTTTTCTATTGTTTTGTTTCTCTTCCCCCAATTTATTATTCTAAATTTAATTGTTCTTCCCCCGCCCCCTCGACCCCCCCCTAGTTTAATCATATCTTCTATAATCGTTTATCTGTAATTTTTGATTTTGTTTTATTCTTATTTTCGCTGACACACGTTCTCTCACACACACATATAAACACACACACAGAAATGTTAATGCATTTTTGACGGTTATATCGTGAAATATATATTTGAAAATTATTTGATTAAATTTTTCTTATAAAATATTAATTGAAATAGAAGTAATATATATAAAGCGCAATATTAATAAAAAATATGAAAAATTCACGTTATTGGGGGAATCAAGAATGCGTTAATAGTTTATTTAATCACTGTCTTATATCATATACTTTTTATTTTTGTCATCTAATAAATCCTCTCATAATCAACCCTCTTGCTTCTTTCGCATGACACGTGTGGCTGTTGATCACAGGTCGCGAGGAAACTAGTCATGATGGAGCAGGACCTTGAAAGGGCCGAGGAAAAGGCAGAGTTGTCGGAAGCGTAAGTGGGACCACCCGCATTTTGCATGATCTTTTTCTTTCTTCTAACTATCTTCCTATCTCTATCTATCTATCTATCTATCTATCTATCTATCCTTCTTGACTCAAATTTATTTTTATTTTTTCCTATTTCCGCCATTACCATTCCTCGTCGATGTTCTTCGTCGTGCGATCGATTTCTCAAAAATTACAAAAAGATTTTTATTAATTATTATTATTATTATTATTATTCGCGATCAAATATAAAAATCATGGGTATGGAATATTAATTTGTTTTCTTTTTACCACCCCTCCAATTTGTAGAAATATTTAAATTTATTGTACAATGAATTGAAAAGAATATTTTAAATTATTATACAATAAATTGTAAGAAGATAAAAAATAAATATGTTGTTTTTGTTATTGTGATTATGAGATTTCGATCGTCGAAAAGATCGGGGTAACGGGAAAGGGGGCAAAATATAATTGAAATTCTGTTAACTATTTTACGATGGGTATTTGTTTTATTTTTTTACAGCAAAATCGTCGAGCTTGAGGAAGAATTGCGCGTGGTCGGTAATAACCTGAAATCCCTCGAGGTCTCGGAAGAAAAGGTAAAACAAAACAATTCAAAAATCAATACCAATACCAACAAATTGCAAATACAAATGATATCTTATATCTCAATTTTTTAATAATCGATTATAAGAGTCTCGGTGAATAATCATTTATAATGCAACTTCGGATTTAAATTTTACCTGTCACAACAAGATTGGTTAATGAAAATTATAGGAACAAAAAATAATCAATAATTTCAATTACTCGCGTTTTTTTAATGAGAAGGATAACGAAAGGATTATTTACAAGTATTTTTAAGTATCTACAGTCGCTTAATTAATGAGTTTTCTTTATTCGAACGAATGAAAAAGGAAACAAACTATATCTTGTTTGCTCTATCTGTTTTCTCAATTTTTCTCTATTTAATTCTATATTTTTGTTGAATTCTCAATTTCATCCGATTTTTATTACATAATTAATTAATGTCCATTTTTTTTTTCTTTCTTCTTTTTGTAAATATATTTATTATCGAGAAATGTAATGTAATGTACTGTACGTAGGCCAACCAGCGCGAGGAGGAATACAAGAACCAAATTAAGACCCTTACCACTCGTCTAAAGGAGGTACACATCCTTTGGGAGTGTCTTGCGCTTTTGCATTATTCTGTCTTGATTTACTTTTTTTTTCCTTTTTTCATTTTTATTGTATTTTTTTTTGTTTTTTTTTCTTTTAATTTATTTTTATTTTTTTGTGGTTTGTTTCAATGGATCGATTTCGGCTGTGACATCGCATTAGATCGTAGTACTAAAAAATATTAACAGATCCTGCCCCCCCCCCCCAACACCACCCTTTTCTTATATATACAAATATACCATTTTTCATCGAAGTTCGAATTTTGCAAGCGAATTTAGAGCATTAATAAGACGTATATACACCAACAACATAAATATAATTAAAATAATATATAAAGCAACACACACACAACACTAATTGTCGTTTTTAATAATCTTGTACTAACGATGCCTCGTGTGTTTTCTTTTTTTTTTGTCCAATCTTGTGCGCTTCACTAAAATTAGGCGACGCAGAGAGAGGAGACGTTCGAGGGACAGGTGAAGATCTTGGATAGTCAGTTGAAAGAGGTAAGCATGATTGAAAATGTGTAATAAAAAAAATAAGTTAGAAAGAATATTCGAGTTATATTTGCGTATATATAACATTTGATAAAAGTGTTTTTATCCATAAAAAATAAATAAATGTTATGATAATAGAAAAAAAATATTAAAACGATCGACGATGCATAGAAAATATTTCTAGCAATGTTTATTATGTACATTTTTCGTGATTATTTAAATTTAAAAATGACAAAATAAAATATAGGATAATAAGTGACGTAACATTATCATCATCCTTGGAAGAATTATGTCACGTTGTTTCAGGTATGCGAGGAATGCGAGTGTTGTTAAATTTTTAATCAATTTTTAATCAATTTTTAATCATACACAACGTATTCATTATAATTCTTAGAAAAGTAAAGTTATTAAAACTTATTGTTAGAAAGATTAATAACTACGATAACAAATTCATTGATTTTTATTTCCCAATGAGTGTATTTTTTTTGCATGGTGTGAAAATTTTACCAATAATACGATACGATTGAAAGAAAATATACTACGTCGATTTCGAAAATTACCAATTGCAAATCAAATTTATTTATATAATGTTGAATTAAAATATTTCTCTTTTTTTTCTTGTTATTCATTTGAAAAAAAATCTGTAAAATGTTATTACAATCGAATATCAAATTCGATTGATTTCATTTTGTAAGTTTCTTTTTTTTTTTTTTTTTTTTTTTTTTTTTTTTTTTTTTTTTTTTTTTTTTTTTTTTTTTTTTTTTTTTTTTTTTTTTTTTTCGAAATCGACGAGAATAAAAAATACATCTTAATTACTTCGAATTGATTCTAATTGAATTGTGAAACATTTTACAGGCTGAGGCTCGCGCCGAGTTCGCGGAGAGATCCGTGCAGAAACTCCAGAAGGAGGTCGACAGGCTCGAAGGTGCGTATAAATTCAGAATAAACAAAATGACGAGCTTCGTCGGTTATCTCGTCGTTTTTAAGAAAAAAAAAAAAAAAAAAAAAAAAAAAAAAAAAAAAAAAATATGGCGGCTTTCGTTTATTTTTTAACGCGTCCTTATTATCAGTTCGATTCTGTTCCAGCAACATTTTCTCTTTCTTTAAAAAAAAAACCATTTCCATTACATCTTTTTTTTTTCTTTACTTTATACATTAAAATTTTTTATTTTATTTTTATTTAATTTCACACGACCTGTCTTTCTTTCTTTCTTTCTTATTTTATTTTATTTTATTCTATTTAATTATTATTTTGTATCATTCTTGTTCTACATTCTAATTTATTTTAAAAGCATGTATTATCATATAGCATCGATATTTTGAATCATCGTTGTTATTTTGTTCATGTATAATGTACATACAGTGATAATAAGAAAGAGAGAGAGAACAAACATAATCGATCATATTGGATTATCTACAACGTGTATCGCTCGTTGCCGTCGATTGAAATTTCTTTAAGATTTCAGATCTATTTAAAGGTGTATACTTGTACGCACGTATATTATATTTTGAAAAGAAAAATATCTCGAGGTAATCGGATATCATGCAAAAACTATCTTTTAACTGATCAAAATAACATTTAATCGACGTTTGATTTGTGGATACGGCTCTTAATTACGAACGCATTAACACCAACTCGAGCAATTGACAATAAAAATCCAATTTTATTAAACAATAAATCATGTGTATATAATTTAGAGAAAAAGGAAAAAAAAACAAATTATTTAAATTGAAAAAGAATTTAAATTAAAGAAAATCAAAACTATTTGGAAACGTGAAACGAAATTTTTCCGATGACAAAAATTTAATAGAAAACACGATGACTAAATCAACAAAATTCGTAATAACTTTCTACGATAATAAATATAGAAAATAAAATTGGATTTTTGTTAGACGCAAAGAAAAAGCTTTGAAAAATAAAAATAATTTATTTTGAAGCACGATGATTGACGATCGTGAACAGTAACATTTAAAAACCAAGCAAGCCTTCTTTCTTTAGAAACAAAAAAAAAAGAACATTAAAGTGCAGTTTTTCTTGCAAGTTCGTGTGCCGTGTTTTTCCTGTTGCATCACAACCTCCCTTCAATCATTACCCCCTAAAAAAATAACTATAAGCCGCAGCCTTAAACTTTGTTTGCCAGCCTATAATATTATCACTCACAAATCAGATTAAATTTCTGAACGAGAGAAATTATGTGTGATAATAATTAATTAATTTAAAAAAAAAAAAAAAACATATACTATGGATCTGTCGCGCGCGCACGTCGTGTCTTTTGGCCCTTGGCCCTTTTTCTCCCTCTATAACCGGTGATCTTTACAGACGACCTCGCCGCCGAGAGAGAGAAAAACAAATTGCTCCAGGAGGAAATGGAAGCCACCCTGCATGACATCCAGAACATGTAGATCTTGTGTTGGTTGGTCTGGACGTTCGTGAAATCATAACAATAATAACCTATATCAAAAAAATCATTAAAAAAAAAAACAAATAAAAGAACGAGCAAACACGTTAAAAAAGATATATGCAACAGAACTCAACACAACAAGAACAATGAAAATAAGAGGAAGATAATATACACGTATAAACATACACACACTATACACATTAAAAAAAAAAAAAAAAAAAAAAAAAAAAAGTAAAATAAAAATTCAGAAAATTGAGTCCGAAAAAAGAAACACCACAGATATACATGTACACATACACACACACACAAACGCGTACATTAAACACAATGAAAATGAAACGAAAAAAAAAGATAATAATAATTAATAATTAAAAAAAAAAATAAAAAAACAAAAAAAGAAGCAGAGGAGCAGCAGCAGCAGCGTATAATAGCGAGAAAGAGAAACGAGCCACGCGTTATGATTAAATAAGTTGATTATTATTATTATTTGAATTATTCCAATAATTCGGTACGCGTTACTTCTCGCGTGCAGATTATTTTCCGTGTGGTGGGGTGCACACTCTTTAAGTAGAAATAATAATAATAATAATAATAATAATAATAATAGTAAAATAATAATAATAATAATAATAATATTAATAATATAAGAATAATATACATATATATAAATATATAAATAAATAAATAAATATATTTCTCTCTCTTTTGCGAGAGTCAGTCTGACTGTGTGCGTGTGTATGTGTTTGATTGTATGCTACAAGTGCTAATATGAACGTACGTATGCGTGTGCAAATGTGTGTTGGTGTATATGCGAGTGTGTGGATGAGAGAATGAAACAAACAAACAAAAATGAAAGAAAGAGAAAGAGAGATGAAAGTATAGCGTAAATGAGACGAATGTATGCAAGAAAGAGATAGAAATAATACAAAAAATTATAGGCAAAGGTTTCAATCTATGCGTGTCTCGTATTATCGATTATTGAATTTCGATTCGATTACGACGATCACGATGATAAAAATAATAATAATAATTATAATAATGATGATGATAATAATTATAATGATGTTCATGATGATAAAATTATTATGGCTATGTAGGGATTTTTAGTACGGGGGTGATTAACTTAAAAGTTCCTTGATGGATCAAAAGTTACTAACTGAGTAAAAAATTAAATATATGCTAATTTTTTTTTTGTATCTTCATATATTGTTAATCTACAAACAAGCCTAATTACAAGCCTAAAAAGTCATTTAAAAAAAAAAAATAAATAAATAAAAGAAGTAATTGTCCAAAATGATTTAGTAACTTTTGATATATACAAGAATACTTATGGGATTTAACGCAACCTTGTATAATAAAAATTAGGTGTGCTACTCTTTCTCTCTCTCTCTCTCTCCCTCTTCGTTTATTTTCGTTGTCGGCACATTCCTCGTTACGAAGATAAGATGAAAATGATTAATATAAATATAATAATACTTACATTCCTCTCGGGGCTCGTTTCTCTCGCGGACCTCGATTATTTTTTATTTATTCTTTTTTATCCCTCCCACCCCTAAATTTTTTTCTTTTATTCAATTTGATAAAGAGAAAGAAGATGGAAATGTCGCATGACTTTTCTATTTTCTTCTCTCTTATCTTCAAAACATAATATACACCATCCTTCCTTTCTCTTTCTTTTTTTTTTTTCTTTTTCTCCTCTCATTTTATAACGAGAATGAGTAATTTAAAATAAAAAGTGTGCATTTAATTACGAGATTGTCCACTGCCAAATCGTCAAGCGGTTTCGTCCTCTCTTCATTAGAAAAAGAAAAAAAAAAAATTCAATACTTTCCTTCCTAAGCCACCTTCCCAAAAAATAAACCACCCCCCTAACCGCCTTCCCTTTATTTTCTATATTCATTTATTAAAAAATATATTATTTTTTTTAATCTTCATTATTTTTCATCATCGTTATTGTTGCTATTATTATTATTATTATTACTATTGTTATCATCGTTAAAACAAAAATCTTTATTTTCGATTCACGTTTAATGATTTTCATTATCGGTCATCAATAAAATTAAACTCTCTTCTTCTCTGCGCGATTTTTTTCGTAATATTATAAAAAAAATAATCTTAAATTAAAGAAAGAAACTAAATATAAAAAAACAAAAGATAAAACATTGCGCGCGAGAGGATCGAACCGCTCTACAATTAAAATTAATTACTTAATTAATTTTATAAATAAATCACCGCGCGAGGAAAATGAAAGAACAAAGAAATGCAAAACAAAATGCAACTTTCTTTTTTTTTTATTTTACAATGCAAAAGCACAATCGCGAATAACGCGAGTCGTAATATTTAGTATAACGTATAATTAATTTTGTTTATTAATTATTTTACATCCCGAAAACCAAACTTTTCCATTTACTTTCTTAACTCTCTCTTTCTCTGTCTCTTTTATTCATTGTTTCACTTAAATACAAGGCCTCTTCCTCCTTCTCTTCTCCCCCCTTCTCCCACCTTTTAAACTCCTATAAGTTGCGAAGAGAATGTTTAGAAAAGACATTAAAAATACACAAAAAACAAATATTATAATAATATAGTAATGAAATAAACAAATAAACGAACGAAAGGGAAATGCAAATTAAAATATTGAGTTTACGAAAGAGATGAGTTTTTAGTTTATTAATTTACTTAATAATAATAATAATAATAATAATAATAATTATTAAAATAAACGAATGGAATGATAATAATAACACTCTAATAACACATTGTAATAATAATGATTATTATTATATACATATACATATATATTGCTATTATTATATATAAAAACTGTTTATAATATATATTTTAATTTTGAAAAACCCGAGTGTGTGTGTGCAGTTTGTTGTTGTCTCTATTTTTTTTTTCTTTTCTTTGTTTGATTTTAAACATCGTTTTTTCTTTTAAATTTTCGTTTTTTCTTTTGCTTCTAATTTTTGCTCACCATCAACGTGAATTAACATTGAATTGAAAAAAGATATATACATATATATAATGTTTAATAAAATAATATAATAAAAAAGAATTTTAAGCGTAAATAAAAATCAGTTGGGACTCTGATTACGCGTGTAATTTATATTTACACATAAATATTTAATAATTGGCTGTGCCCGCCTGTTCATTTTAAAAAAAAGAAAAGAAAAAAACAACCCTTATTGTGATCTTGCATGTCGTACAAACACGAAGAAAAGTGAACTACGTGATAGCTGTTATCATCGTCTAAAGAGTAAGTACTATCCTGCTTGTTGTTTTTTGCTAATTAACATTTCCTGATAATTATTAAGAGAAAGAATACGACGAATGTTTTTCTTTCTTTTTCTTTTTCTATCATTTTATTCAATATTCCTCGTACTCTTTCTCTCACTCTCGTTACCTTTTACCTCGAATTTTTTTATTGGATAAAATAAAAATGAAACGATTTGTAAATTATCTGTTTTATATTACGTGCAACGAATTAGGGATGTATTATTTAAAATATATTCTAATATATATATTAGTTTAATATCTAGGTAATGTTATATAATAATTATAATGTACATGATGTTTATTTTAATTATATACACGGTGTTAAAAACGTTTCTAGATGATTTTAAAAATTAATTACAAGTAAAGATCTTCAAAAGAAGAGTAATTAATTTGTAACATTATTTAGAAATTTATTTTAGCAAACCTTGTATAATTAATATAATTTGTATCGGGGCTTTTCAAAATTCTCCAATTGACGATCCTCGTTTACCAAACGCGAATATTATTTACATGTAATATATTGCTGAAGTAATTTTGAATTATTATAATTTCTGGTCATTGCGAGTCCAGGAATTGTTTAGTTTTGCTAAAATTACTATGACCATCGAATTTAGATACGCCACTCTCCACATAGGATCATCTGGATTGCATTGAAAAGCCCTGATTTATATAATTTAGTTAACAAAAAATAATAGTAATAATCGATTCTATAATTGATTTCATATAATTAATAATAATATAATTATTAATTAATTTCAAACGCTTAGCCACCCTTAACACAAAAGAAATAGAAAAATATTAATTATAGTTTTTTATTTTATTTTCTTTTACACAAAGAGTTAGTATATTATTAGTTGAAAAGAAATAATAATATAAAATAATAATAATGCTTTTTCCTCCTAAATTAACATTGCCAATGCTTGCAGATGAGATGGTGGTAGAAAAGGAGAAATTCAAGGAGATCGGTGATGGACTGGATAATGCATTTTTCGAACTCTACGGCGTCTAATTCGCCACTAACCACCCCTCTAACGCTTCTCCAATCAAAAAAACAATATAAAAAAAAAAACCTTTCTTACAGTCTCGCTTGCTCTCTTAACACGTATTCCGTAAGTTTATTAAGCTCTAACATTTCTTAACGTCACAATAATTGCTTCGCTATTAAAAAGCAACCATTACAAAATTAAACAAACCAATTTAACACTTACTTTACTGCTTTTCTTTCAATTTTCTTTTTTAATTTTAATTATTTAATTCTTACATTTATACACAGGACCCCCACAGATTATTATTTTTTTTTTCTTAATCCACAATTGAGTTTTTAACACACCAATCATGAAAATTATTGAAGCTTTGCAAATTTTACAAACACACATGCATAATAATCATACATCCATAGTAATAAATATAAGGGAACAATGATGTCGTTAATTTGTTCGATTACTTCATATTTGAAGAATGAAATAAACATCTATTTCTGAGTCCTACGTTACAAAAAAAAATCATTTCATACATTAAATAAAAGTAAAATATTTTCTTCTATTTTTCTAAAATAATTTCTATTCATTTCAGACGAGCTCGTCCACGAGAAAGAGAAGTACAAATATATTTGCGACGATTTGGATCTCACCTTCACCGAATTGGTTGGTTAAATTTGACCTCCTTTTCGACACGTTCTTCTGTCAACCCCTGCTGTCGAATTTCAATTAATGAAACATCAAATTCAAAAGAAGATACAAGCGTTATATTGCGATCGTCGTTTAGCCCTTTTTCACGGCGCGGGCTGGTTGCTATTATACATACAACAACAACAACAAAAACTACAAATATATATATAAATATATTTAAATATTTAAATGCACATACACACGATGTATACCATAATTAATTTTATTATATATGTAACTCTGTCTAATTGTTGTATATTATATAAATACGTTCCGCGTTAATTTTGGGTCGTTTTTTTTTTTTTGAATATTTTCACAATCTTTCACACATTCTACATTCATAATTTCGCGCTGAACGGTCATTCGATGACAGCGTCGCCATCTCGTGGGTTCGACTCGAATCTCGTCAGCGCGAAATTTCAAATTGTTACAAACTGTTCACGCAATCAAAATAGAACAGATAAAAATGATTTATTTGAAACAATTTATATTAATCCTTACATATAATAAGTTGACCTTGAGAATTAATAAAAAAGATATTAAATAACTCGGCGATGCTGGTCGAGAATCTCTTATAATTTTGAATATCATTTTTATCCTAAATTATTATTTTGATTAATAATAATCAACCCATCCTCTTCGAACACCATTATCCAAATTTGAAAATCTAATAATTCAAGGTATACTAACTGATAATCTCTCTCTCTCTTATATAAATTAATAATATTAAAAACACTAAAATATGTATCTATAATACTAACAATCATCCAAACTAATAGCACGTTCCCTCCATTACAGACGTCCTGGTAAACGAGCGCTGTAAGTACAAAGCCATCGCCGACGAAATGGATCAGACGTTTGCCGACCTCGCCGGATATTAACGAATTGCTGCTTTAACGCTTTACGAGCTGGTCTATATTGAAAGTAAAGAAAATTGAAAAATAGGGTTAACACACTGACGGGAAAAGACGGGGGAACAACGATCAATAAAATTGTTATTCACGCTATGATTAAAAGAAATATGTGACCACTGCCAGAGCACATTGACAACTTCGCCGACACGTTCAAATTCATTTCAACTTTGACACATGCATAAACATGTGTACATATTTAATCCTTTTATGATTTATCAATATTAAATTTTATTCTATCAATTTTTGTAAAATTTACTATTACTTGATTATAAATTAAATCGAATTTTTGAAATAATTAATTATACTATTAAGTATTAAATTAAAAAAAAAAATATTCCATGCTTAGATTTAATTATTTAAACAATTTTTACAAGTCATTTTTACTTATTAAAATATAATTACACGAAAAATATATGTATTTATAAGGGTTTAAAATGTACACATGTATGTTAAATAAGAACTATTTTCTCTTTTTCAAATTTTAAAAAATCATATCGAGCGTGATATTAAACCAAGCGTGAGCTCGGCCAATTAACGAAATTATTTTTATTTTCTATTTCTCATATTTTCTTATTGATCTTTTTATCGCCAATTAGAAATCTCTCACGTACGATCGTGCAAGTGTGCGATACCCGATTATTATCCCCGTTTTATAATTTTCTTCTTTTTTATTTTGTTTTCGCGTGAATATGCTTGATAAAAAATATTGTAAAAGAATAAAAATAACAAATCGCGCTTCGTATTATTGTAATAAGCTTATTCATCAGCATTCGTAATTAGTATACGTATCGTTCCTAAAATCTTTAAATAATTTCATTCCTATAGCTTTTTTATACAAAACGTGTTCAATAAAATACACAAGCAGGTACATACTCACACGTACACATAATAACATTAAGAAAAATAAAATAAATGAATAGGCGTCATTTATCAATTCAGTTATACATTAATGTTTTTTTAAGTGCAATTTCAACAAAAACCATTTCAATATACGAATTTGTAAGAATTTTGTTTTTTAAACAATAAAGAAAACTTGTATAAAGTATAGGAAAAAAAATTAAACAAAAAAATTGATAAGGAAGGACGCAAATTGTACATCAGTGAAACCGAAGTGCAAAAAAAAAAGAAAAAGAGATAAAAAAACAAATAAAATGTGTCTACGATTGTAAGAGACGAATTTATGCTTTTAATGAAATTCAATTCGTGTAAAAATTTGTACGCTTATGACAAAAAAAGAAAATGAAAAAAAAATATCTAAAGCATTGTTTGTAATTAATTAACGTTGACAATCGTCTCAATATATTTACATAAATATAAATAATAATAATAATGATAATAATAATCTTTCACATCCACATACACAAACACATCCTGACGAACGATATTATATAATAATAATAATAACAATAATAATCATCATTGATAGTTTATAATAAATAGTAATTAATTTCATGATTGTCAACTATAATGCGGTAATTATAATTTATACACAAGAAACAATATCTTGCCGTTTTTAATTTTAAGTCACAGTTTTCATCGTCCATTGAGAAATCTCCCTCTTTATTTGAAATCTACATAATTTTTAAACAAATTTCATGTATATTTAATCGCTTCTAAATCTTTCCAATGAAATAAGGCTATGCGCTGCAATTTTTGTACAATCGGCTGAATTTAACGTAAAGAGCAAAATATATGACAATGTGTGCAAAGAAACAAAAATGTGCTTGGAATGCCGAATTGAAGTTTGATAATTTAAAAACAAAAAGAAGAAAAACTACACTTTTTTTTGCCTTTCATCATAATATTTTTTATGGAATCCGCTATAATAAAAAAATTACTGAGAAAAGGATTGAACAACGATTTTTTTTCAATTTTACAATTTTTTTAGGGGTCCATCAGGATATATCCAATATAATGTGCCTGCAGTAAAACTTAATACTCAACCTTTTCCAAGAAAATGAAAAAAGAAGATTCACATACATTTTTATATACCAGTTCATTTCGTGCTAAATAGAAAAATAAATAGGTTATAGTATAATTAAAAAAAAAAGAAATTCTAGGAAAAATTTGCATAGGTAGACTGAAAAGTTCTGAGCTATATGAACGACGATTGGTTGAGAAGTTTTGAGCCTAGCACGGTGTAGAAAACCATAAAGCTCAATGAGCTTTCCACTATGTAGAATTTTAAAAAAAATAGGCATTCTGTCAACCTGGCTCTCTCCTAGTGAGACAAGATACACAAATTTGATTCAAGAATGGGCCAAAAATTCTTAGGTGATTTTAAAAATTAATTATTATTTTTTCGAGACCTTTTAAGACTATTATTAGGGTTGTAATTTGTAATAAGCAAAGCTTAGAGTCTTGCATAAAAATGGAATTCCAAAATATATTTAATAAAACATAATTGATTCTTAAAGTAATTTAGCACTTTTTGGCACACTTTTATAGCATATGCATCTTTATTTAATTATGTTTACACGATTATATTGTTATTACTATTACTATTATTATTATTATTAAAAAGGCACATATATTTTATCTCGGCATACTCTTGCAAATCAAAATTAATCAGCGAATAGTTGAGAAAGGAAAAATGGGATGATGAGACTGAATGGTTTACAATATATTAAATGATAAAAAAGAAAAAGAAATATTTACATAACATACATATTCATTATTTATGATTTTCATATCATAATATAATATTATCTGTCTAAACACAACGCTAACATAATATATTTCTGTATATTTCGAGTTCGTAATCATATATATATATATATATCCTCATTATCATCTTATCAGCAAAAAAAAATAATTTGTTCTTTTATTTTTTATTCTTTTTCTTCATAATTAAAGAATTGCTGAGTAACATAATACATACATATCGCCAAGAAATATGATTTTCTCTTCGCATATCACGAAGTCGGCCGACGACGACATTGCAAGTGCATTTTATTCAAAAAATAACAACGTTTTTTCCATTTAATTGCTACTTCTTTTTACGCATTGCGTAAATTATCTTTTTTTTTTTTACTTTTTCTATAGTTTTTTTTTTAATTTTTTATTGATAAACTTACAAGCACTATCAACAACAACAACAACGTCGGCCCTAAAAGCTAAAATCAATCTATTCAGGTAAATGTTGATATTATTAATATATTTATTTATTTATTTATTTTCTGAGGAATCCCATAATTATTGCTTTGAACGAATAAAAATAATTCTTATGCGTATTTTTTTTTGTTCGGAAATATCAATGATTTATTTCATTCATTTACTAATTTGTTCGAAGACACTAAGAAACAAAATTAAAAATAATAATAATAAAAAAGAAAGGAAATGTTATATATAGAGAAAAGAAATTATTTTACAAAACGCGTTTTAGATGCGTTTAAACAAATTTGTATATACAGGATGAGCTAAAAGTTTTTAGATAATTTAAAAATATAAATCAATTACCCTTTTTCGAGACTCTTTCAGGGTAGTTTTATTTAAAATATAAAATAGCAAGGTTTCAAAAATATTGAAAGAGAGTAATTGATTTTTGAAATCATCTAAAAATTTTGGATTCACCCTGTATATAATACATATTAATTCCATAAGATGGTAGATAAATGGTATCCTCAAATACTTTGCATTGCGAGATGATACGTATTAAAAATATAATAATCAAAATTAACATAAAATAAAAAGGAGAGAGAAAAAATTTAATTAAAAAAAAAAATTAGAATAAAATGATTTAGAAAAAAACTCGCGCAAAGCTTACAACAAACGGGACCGCAGAATTGCAATGGAACCTTAAAAACTATCAATTAGATAGGGGGGCTCGGTTAATATTATTAATTAATTAAAAAAAGAAATAATAAAAATAAAAGAAAAAAAAGGAAATAAGGAGAAAAAAAATAAAATTGAAAAAAAGAATCAGCGATAACATTTTTAACGATTATTATCTTTTATCCTGTTCTTTAAAAGCGAATTTAACATTTGTGTTATCGCTTGTTATATTTATACCTATGTAATTAATTAATTATTCAATTAATTATTAATAGAAACTAAAATGTTCGTGTTCTCTTTTAATAGCAATTGTTCGATCGTATAATAAAATACATGCGATAAATCTTCTCTATATAATATAAAGGCAATAATAATAATAAAAATAATAATTATTATTGTTATTATTATTATTCTATGTAGTAGTAATATGTATATGTATAGGGTATCAAATATTCTCGAAGAAATGGATGAAATTAAGAATCCTACGAATTTCTATATATGTATATAAATGTGTTTCGATATATATAAGGCACATATAACAACAGTTCAATAAATAAATTCTTTTCATTCGCATATCTTTGCAAAAGAGTAAAGATTTTTAAAAATTAGATTGCAAGAAAAACATGGCGACAACGACGACGAAGGCACAACAATCACAGAGTTCATTTTTCAAATTATTTTTTTTTGTACAACGTAAGTATAAAGTGTAGACTAAAAGTTTCTAGGTGAACCAGAAGTTCATAAGTGATTATAAAACTTAATTATTCGACTAAAAAATACATTAGACTCGTATTTAAACTCATAATTTAATGAAATAAACTTGTAGTTGTACAATGTGTAAAAAATTTTAGTCTAAAAAGTGTCTAAAGAAAATAATTAATATTTAACACGTTGACATCTTTGTCAGTCAACCGTGACCAACGTTTGTTCTATTTATGAGACCACGAAAATCATCTATAACCGGCATTAATTTTTTTATATCTAATCTCAGAATTGTGGGCCTCTACAGCAAAACACGTAAAACTAACATGGTAGACAACGTGCTAAATTCATTTAAGAAATTTTAGTCCACCTAAAAGCTTTTAAAGTCACTCTATTTAAAAATGCAATATGCAACAAGGATCCTATAATCTATAAGAAAGACAAATAAAAATAATGAGAATCCTTTAGCAATTAAGGAATGTGTGTAATAAATCTTATTGAAGAAAGGCAATATTTAGAATTTTTGATTGGTCATTTGTTGGAATTAGAATCTTATAATTTAGTCGTGTAAAGTCGCGTTTGCGCCAGCAACGAGCGAATGAAGACAGAATTATATTTTATAACGAATACAGGAAAGTAAAGAAATCTGTTGTAACTATTATTATATTCCTCGGTTCGCTCGAAAGAAAATATATATATATATATATTTGTAAAATTCATTACAAAATGCTTGGTCCCCAAATCGTAATCATATATAGCTATTATTATATCTCTATTATATTAGAAGTCTATATATATAGATAACGTTTGATACATGAAATGCAAAAAACGCGGTATGTAAAAAAGAAAAAAGAAACTATGAACGCTTCGCGATAAGAAAAAGAAAATGTAGCAGTGCGTCTAAAAAATGACACCGACGATGATAACGTAACAACGTCAACAACAACACGAGCAGAAGCAGCCTTTCAATGACAAAAATTATTTATCCGTTATCTCACATTTTTTCTCTTCAATTAAAAAAAAAAATATTAAAAAAAAAAAAACTTTAAAGAAACAACAATCTCGCGTAAACAAGACGATCATCTCGAGAGTGGTGTTCTGTTTGAAAATATTGTTTAATTTTTCTCTAACACGGCAAGGAGAGCATTGTACATAACAGTTGAGAGAAACAAAAAAGACGATCTCTCTCGCAAGCAAAGAATATTCTCTCTCTCTCTCCCCCCCATCCCTCTCTCTCTCTCTCTCTCTCTCTCTCTCTCTCTCTCTCTTTCTCTTTCTCTCACACAAACACACATGCACACCACCAGTGTGTACACCAGTAGCGTTTCATTCGATCGAAACGGAGAAATTTCGATCAAACGAACGGTGACAACAAAAGAAGGAATTGAGATGATGGCAGCTGCTAAGATTCATCGTTCAAAAAATAATGGCCCTTAGATCTGCGCTGGCTCGACATAGTTCGCTGGCAACATACCATGTCGACCTGTACGTTGTACCAAACCAGTCATCCATCCTTCGTCAATGGCTGTACAGTTGACAATCAGGTCACCATCACAGAAGCTTACTTCGTCCAAATCTTGCGCCTCGTAATCGTACATCGCTCTATATACTCTCTGAAAATATTATCAAATATTTAATAACTAGAAAATTGTTCTTTTTGTTTTAAAGTATTTAAATTTTTAGTTAAAGTTATAGGGTGGTATTCAACTATTAGTAAATTAAATAGCAGGATTTTTCAAACATTTCAACTTGGTTGATAATAAATAATATAAAACATATATTCAAAAACAATACGTTGGTATACATACAAATATAATTTTATTACATATTAAAACCATGAAAACATTTCTGCGGCCCGAAATTTAGTTACGTGACCTTATACGAGATGGTAACCCCATATTTTAAAAAGCCCTGGTATAATATAATATATAATTAGATTATATTTATATACTTATATATCATTTTCTTTACTAATAGTAACTACAACATAATTATAAAAAAAAAATAATTTAGAAACTTTGTTAAGAAGATAAAAAATAATATAATAATAATAATAAATTTCTAATAAAAGTAAAATATATAAACAATAGATTAAAATAAGTGTAAGACTTGAAAATAACATTTGATCATTGCGAATGAAGTATTAAAAAAAAAATACTTTACATAATAATAATACATTCAAAAAAATAAGATAATATAAATGAAAACGTTCTAAATTGGCGCGTAAAATTTATAACTTACTCCGACGTTGGTAGGTGGCGGTGGTGGTGGCTGATGCTGTATCACGTGATTATTATTCGTCGCAGGCGTGAGCGATCCGTAATAGTCGTTCACCGGGTCGATATCCGCTACGGAACCAATTTTTCGTGTTGGTGGATTCGTAACTGTACAATGTTAACAAATTTTCTTCTTAATAAAAGAATAATATTAATGATTGAATAAATTATATAATTAGGTTTAGTAATGTAATAAATATCAGGATGATGTAGCATAAAAAAAAAATTCTCCAACTGGATAACGAAGGTGCTGTTACTGGTTGCGCTTAGGAGAACTTCCGGATAGATCTCGTCGGACAGATGTTGTATGCGAGCGTAACAAAGGACGACGACCGAAACAACTATGACGACGACGATGATGATGATTATGATGATGATAATAATGATAATGATAATAATAACGTCTAATGAAATGTTCATTTTCTGAATCTACGACTAAGCCAAGTCACGAGCTATTTTTTTTCCTTTTTTTATATTTTACTCTCGTGGTCTAATAAGTTTTTTTTTTATTTTTATACTTTGTTGTTAATTATTATTAAAAATTATATAATCTAATTTGGATATAGAAATTTTTAGCAATCCATATTCTTTCTTAATGTAACGCTATTGCAAATTTATGTTAATAAAAAACAATAATATTATAATTTTTTTAATTTTAATCTCCTAAAATGTGCGATATAAAAATGTAGATATTAATTTTCTTATTATTTATAAATCAAAATAGAGTAATTCAATTGAAATAAAATTATCTTATAATGCAAAAGATAAATATATATATATATTGTTAATTTTTGTATGAAATATAAATATAAAATAAAAATAGTAATCTCTCTCTCTAATTGAAATAAAAATATTACGAAGACAAAAGACTATATTATAACAAATTAACCAAAGTACCTGATTATACTTCAAAAAAAAGGGGTGTTAAAAAATGAAATAGAGTAGTGAAAGAACGTATACGTATATACAAATACTTATATAAAAAGTACATATGTGTAATGTAATGTAATGCGTTATAAAGCAGGATCAAGGAAGAGAAACTTACCTGGACCTTTGTCACTGGTATAAATGACCGTGGTTGCGGCTTGCCTAGCAGAATAAGGACTCGGCCTTGCTTCACTAAGGGGATCGTAATCAGCGATCCTACCTGGTGTCCTTTGTACAGGCGAGTTTGCCGTTCTCGCAACTGGTGGATTCGCATTTAGGTAACTGCTCGAGGCAGGTGCGATTGTACCGTCCGTGTACTCTACGTACTCTAAAAAGCAGAGAAAAAAAGCAACGAAAAGCTAACAAATAATTGGATTCAGACACGTAATGGGGAATAAAACAAAGCAAAACTAGGCAACCGTTTACTCGAGGACACAATTAGCTTACGATTTTTTATGAATTTGTTCTGTGTTTCTTATGATAAAAATTGTCTTTTTTTTTTTTGTTATATTGGATATTCAAATGATTTGATTTGACTTTGAAATGTAATTTAAATTTAAAAAGACAAAGAAAGAGAGAGAACTGACCTATTTGTTCGCCATTTTCTCCGGTCATGGTCCTCTTCTGTTCCATGATCGCTTTCTTCTGAAGTTCACCATGGTAAGCAACATTTGAAATGATCTTACTGTTCTGCTTAATTCTCAACGTCTCTGGATCATCCGCGACTTGCGTGAACTTTCCCTTTGCCTTTTCGAACTCTGCGTGATACTTAACGTTGCTTTGAATTTTCGTATTCTCAGCGATACGTTTTAATTCTGGTGTTTCCGCCATTGTTGTCGCCTTTGCTTTTGGTATGTGTCTGCATAAAAGATATATCAACAAAAATTATAATAATAACAATTATATCGCGATGATTACGATGATGATAATGATGATGATAATTAAAAAATGATGTGCCGATGAATAAATAAAATTATGTACGCGTGTTCATTCATATTTAAATAACACACACTAAAGTAATCAGCTGATTTTGACAGATATAATGTGTCATAAGATATATCCATGTGGATTATTAAAACGTTCTTATAATTCCACTCACGAACTTTGAACACGACAAGGATTACGATATGAAAAGAGATCGAAGAAAAATAACAATGGCACGCTTTCGAGTATTCAATAACAATGTAAGAGAGGAGATAGAACCCCAGCCACGTAAGCGTCTATCATTTAGCAACTTTGAAACAAATTTATTTATCGCAAAGGACAAACATTTAAATATTACGTACAACATTAAATAAAAAAAAAACAGAAAAGAATTATGAATTTCTTTTTTAACGCAACAGAAGTTGAAGAAAATTTTTACGTTTAAATGACAACATTGAAAAATGGAATAAATTCTAATTTTAATGAATGAAAAAAAGAAATTAATTAATTTATATATGTATATATATTGTTATTGAAAAATTAGGATAAATATTAAAAGCAAAAAAGAAAAGGACGATGACAAGAGGTCAATGACGTGTTTCTTATCTCACGAGTCCATCCTCCGCAATGGGTGTCGATAATTTTCTCCGGAGAAATCGTAACGCGTTTCGAATGACCGAAATATAAAAAAGGGAGGAAAAATATAAAGGGGAGATCGAATAGTGAAATTTTGCAAGACGAGAAGAAGGAAAGAAGGAAGATGAAATGAAATGAAATGAAACCATCAGATGAGATTAAGTAATCTGAGAGTTTCATCGAAATGCATACATGCAAAGCTTTCTAACTAACTATATAAATGTATATGCTACCAGCCAAAAAATCTTTGATATCTGTATGTAAATTCAAAGAACCAGGATATTTGTAATAACAAACGAGTATCCTTAAAGTAATCGAGGTAAATTAATTCGTCAAAAAAATTCTTGAATACAGTGGAATCTCCAAGTATCTGATAATCGTGTATTCGAACGTTCTGTTATTCCCACATGCTTTATTATCGAGACACTGTGTATATATTACTTTCCTGCTTGTGCGTTGTTATCTACTATCGAAACAAATAGTCGACAATGTATTGTAGTACATCCTTTATACAATATTACATCTTTCTTATTGTTCCAATATGTAATTAAAATCGTACGCAATTACTGTGCTCGTGTATAATGGCATCAAAAATGAATTGTGCAATACTAACAATAAGTGTTGAAATGGAAAAAATAAATACTCCATAAATTAAAAAATGATAAAAGTACAGCACCAATTATTTATTCTATTTCTTTATCCGTTCAGTTGCATTTTGCAATTAATTCGGATAGCAGAGATTTTACCTATAGTATGTTTTAAATTTTGTATTACTTTTTTTATCAAGGAAAAAGTATATTTTACATTATTTTTTTCTATTCTAAGCATCCTAACAATTAATTTTTCGGTTTCTAATTGCATAGTTTTCCATACTTCTTGTTAAAGGTTAAAAAGATGTCACCCCGGTACGAAAATTCATTTCAAATATTGTTTTAAATTATACCAAAGTATAATGGTTATAAAGATAACGAAATCTCTTAAAACACAATTTAACTTGTTAATATTTGATCTTTGATTACTTTATCGGTGTATTTAATTTTCATGAAAATCGGCCAATTAATTCAAACTTTGGAGGGATAGTGTATATGTGATTTGTGTACATGTGTGTATTAAGATAGATAGATAAATAAATAGAAACAAATGTATGATAGATGTATGCATGTGTCAGTTAGGGTAAGGTAAGTTCGTCGTGCACGTCGTAATCGAGATTTATGTCACGAGTCTGTTTTCCATATACGGTGTCTGTGGCTCTCTCACCATGCCATACCCAGTAATCATGAACGTATGTACGTTACGCAATTGCATCGAATAATTAGGTATGCATTTTCGTTCCTCTTCTTGTCTTTGGATACTTACAATGAGATAAGGGGAAAGAGAGAAAATAAAACCGAGATTAAACGATTATTATCTTCATTATTCTATTATACTGATTTTAAGTGTCATCAAATCGTTACTCTCTCTTTACATTATTACATTAATATTAAATAATTATATATTTAAGCATTGTAAGTGAGCAATTACAAAAATAATTATATTTAATATTTATAAAATTATACGTTTTTAACTATATTGTAAATGATCAAAAAATAGTAATAAAATTACACAGAGTACAACGATAGTTTTACTAAATGCAACAATTGTAAAGTTGCGCACACACATAATATAAAAATTAATAAATAAAATTATAGTAAAACTATACACAATATACAATTATATTTATATATATTGTACTTTCATGACCAAACAATTCTAGATGCAAAGATTGTAATAAAATTACATGCTACGATATCTTGTCGATATTTTGTTTAAATGCAACAATTGTCTTTTTCTTTTCTCGTATGCAGTTGGTTGGAATTGGAGACGTGTGAGCACAGAAACGTTAAAAAGTGGTTAGGAAGAAGTTGATAATTCCAAAGAGGCTATTTCCTCGGTGTTTAACGGAGTAGCACACTGTATACAAGCCTGGAATGGATTTGTTGTTGGGGTCAGAGGTATTAGATTCCAGTAGAGCGTTAAGTTTAGAACAGGCTTCGAGGAGAGCACAAGTACAACGAGTATATATAAGTGTCAATCGTGTGAGGACGGAAGCCTTACAGAAATGAAACCGTTCGCATTCTTTCAATTCTTAAGAAGAAAGTGGATGTGAATGCGGAATGGTAGTAAGTACATTTATAAACATCTTCGAATTCGTACGGTTTTTTTTTCTATTTTACTTTCTCTCTCTCTCTCTCTCTCTCTCTCTCTCTCTCTCTCTCTCTCTCTCTTTCTTTGAACGATACATAAATCCACGTAAATTAAAAGACGATGTGAAATGCGAATTTGCAAATCGTAATCTATTCGTAAGATTAGAAAGATAAAACACGGACGTCTTTTGATCCTTTGAACAGTTTTTCTCACGATACAATACACCAATTACAAAACGTTACTACTTTTAACCGTTATTCTTGTATAAGTGTAGAAAAAAGAAAAAGAGAGAGAGGAAAAGAAAAGGAAATAAAAAAAAAGTAACAGTTCTGAAAAGTTACATAAACCGAAATAAAAGCGGTAGTAACTTTTAATTACTATCTAATCAATACAAATATATATAATTATCTGAATTATTAGTCATCCGGAGAGTCCATTAAAATTTAAGCTATTCAATATAAAATATTATACCATATCATTAAATATATTTATTTTAGATATAATTGAATGAATGTCTGGAAAAAGGGCCTATGTTAAATTTTATTATCGCTTATATTACACATTTGAAGTATGTAACATACGCTCTTCTTCCAAAGACCCATTGCATTATTATCAAAAATGCATCCTGTAAGTTCACTGATAAATTAATAATGCATCAAGTTTTAGAAGTTATATCAAAAATCCAAAATTGATAAAGATCCACACAGCGTACAAAAAAATTGATAACTAATAAAATTATTTTAGGCTTAGTATTATTTAAAGAATTATTATCAAAAATGCATCCTGAAGATTCATTGATAAATTTGATGGATCAAATTTTGACGATTATTATATAAATTCAAAATTGATGAGAAGATCCAGTGTACTAAAACCATTATAGTATCTGATAAGATAAGTGGGGTAGTAGTAGTAGTAATATTAAAATAATGATTATCAGTAAAAGCATTTAGGGGGTTCACGGATAAGTCTCTCGGCGTTCACGTTTTCTGCTATGGGTTTGGCGGTGCATTGTGGGACAAGGTCGGTTTGCCATAACCATGCAGACAAGAGTCACGCTACGCTGAACAACTCCCCCTTCTTTTTACGACTAGCTGTTAAATTGCTTCGAGTTGAAACTGCGCACCGCCGTGACAGGACAGACGGCGATGTTTCCTGCTTCTTCTCCTTTCTCTCTTTCTCTCTCTCTCTCTTTCTCTCTCTTTTTCTCTCTCTTTTTCTCTCTTATTTACTTACTTTACTTTACTTTACTTACTTACTTACTTACTTACTTACTTACTTACTTACTTACTTACTTACTTACTTACTCACTCACTCATTCCTTCATTCTCTTTTTTTCTTTTTCTTTCTTTCTCAAGCGGATTATATTTACACGCAAGAGATCTACGTTACACACGAGTCTTATATTCGTATCTCGCGCTATTTTTTTCTTCTTCATAACCCCCTCCCCACTCTCTCACTCTCTTAAATAGCAGTGTAATACGCATGCGTAGTATAATTACCACCGCGAAACTACGTTTGATTTATATTGGAGTATGATGTTGTACATTAGAGAAAAAAAGAAAGAGAAAGAGAAGAAGGAAGAAATAAGAAGAAACAGCACTGTTAATTTGTGAGAAAAGCAACGATTTCATTTTGATTATGTGAATATATACGTTGTGTTGCTATAATATCGAGATCTAAATAGGGAACATTTTACTATTCATTATTCTCGCTTCTAAATTTATATTCTTTCGTATTATTGTCTAGAGAAGAAAAAGATGATAAAAAGAAACAAGAAACTAAGAAATTAGAATTATTACGAGTTCTTATCTATTTCCCATCGTCGTTATTATCTCGCATATTACAAATACGCGTGAATAATTTATTAATTGTATGTTAATATCATTTATTAATAACGCGAGGGTCAAAGATTTTTTTTTTATTTAAAAATAGAAACAATGTTTTATTTTAATTTCTTCTAAGAAATCTTATCGAATTAATTGGTTCAGAGTATAAAAAAAAAAAAGGTTGAAAATATTCATGCACCACTCGTGTAACGTTAGTAAAAAAAATTGTGCGAGTAAATTATTATTTATTTATTTATTTATATTGTTTAAATGCTAGGACAAAGATACTTAATATCTTATTCACTATCTCTTTGACTCTCATTTCATCGTCTCATCCAATCGAGAAGAGGCAAACGTTCTTGTGTGAGTCATTCGAGGTATACCGCGGATGATAATTCCTCAGCAGGCACTGACGTCATTTAATGTAAATTCGCAAAAATTCCATTAGCGGCGAATGAAATCGAAAACACCTTGTATAAACAACCGTACGTCGTAAAATAGAAAAAAAATAAAATAAAATCTAGAAATTTTCTAACACAACTTCTCTTATTGTCTTCTTTTCAGTCAGACTATTTTTTGCAATAATTAGTGAAATTAAATACACGAGATCGTTAGTAAGAAGAAAGAGTGAGAAAGACAACAAAGTAAAAGACGAAGAAGAGGAAAAGGAGGAAAAGGAGGAGGAGGAGGAGGAGGAGGAGGAGGATAAAGAGAGGAGGGAATTGAGAAAAAGAAGGGATGACCAGACGAATGAATGAGTTTCACGCTCACACGTGTTCCGTCTCCCTCATTCGGCTTGTGTTCACTTGATCCGACATACGCATGAGTTACCACCACAATCACTATCATCATCATCATTAGGTTACATACAAAGAAAATATAATATTAATCCGTTACGAATCAAAATCATGTACTATTTTTTTGTATTTTTCTTTTAAAATTTAATTGAAGGAATAATTTTTAATCTCTCACCATCAAGAAAGCACAAGCTTTAAAAGCAAAGTTTTAAATAAAAATAATAACCATTTAAATTATTTCATAGTTCTTACACAGTTTATTTGATCTTATTCATTTTCATAGATCTTTGACTATGGGATATTTCATGGTAGTTATATCAAGTATAACTCGTGATGTTAATTCAAGCGTATAACTCATCGTTACGAAGGGAATTATGCGCGATAAAGGAGGACGTTCAGAGGAAGGAAGAATGAGATAGAGTAACGTGGCTTTGAATCTGCAGAGAGCAGGAAGATTTCATCATCATCATCGTTGCATCGTACGATACAGTGGAAATATTGTCGTCGAATAATCCTTAGAACGATAAATCTTGTTCATCGAGTTTTAAGACAGACCCAAAGTTACAGAAGAAGAAGAAGAAGAAAAAGAATAAACAGAGTTAAAGGAAGAAGAGGAGAAGCCACAACAAGAAGCCACTCTAATTGTCGTACCGAACAATAATCAAATTATCGTCGATCGTTGCTGCTAAGAAAAATCCAATGGTCGAGCTAAAGATACTCGACACTGTGAACTCCATATCTACTTTATGATCTGTACTACATTTTTTTTTATTATATCGATGGTTAAAAAACTATAGAATGAATCAAAAGTTTTTAGGCTTGTAATTTTGCAATATTAAAGGAAAACAAATTTGGTAAATAAATCAAAGAAACGTTTCTGGGCCGGTAATTAACATTGATGTTACTTTTTGTGACACCAATATGATGTACCAACGGAATGCATATAATAGTGTTAGACACCGTAATGTCTTACCAATCATCGGTAATCAATTACATTTAATTGATAAATCAAATTCAATTATTTTTCTCTCACATGGTCAAAAAATAAATGTATGAATCATGTTGAATCACTTTTTTTTTCCTTAAAGAAATATAATTTTAGAAATGATTAATTTAGAAAAGAAATCCACTTTGGGCATAGCTTCTTCTTGTTCTCTTCGGCATTCTATATTTAGCATGGTACACTCGCGTATCTCCAAAGAAGAAGCCATTTTTAGAGCGAGCGAACGAGCAAGCAAGAGAGATGATAAAAACAGCATATGTTGGGAGCTTATCACAGGAGAGCGCTATGAGACTTTACGGCTCTCCCCTCGGAACTCCCGTCAGTCCGCCAGTTATTATAACTTCTACTACACTAACTTAACGAACCCGATTAATTTTCGTCCAGTGCACGAAATTAACCCTAACGCCAAGTCAATTTCATTCTGCCCTCGACGCCATCTTTCTTTCTATTCCGATCTCTTCAAATCGTTCAAAAATCCCGATCACCGTTACGACCTAATAGCAATTCATCATTGTTTTTTTTTTTTTTTAATATAATTAATATTATTTTTATGCAGGGTAGTCCCGAAAGATTTTATAATTGATTTGAAAAATAAATTAACCTTAAAACGAAGTCAATTTCGTTCGAACCTCGGCGCCATCTTTTTTTCTACTCCGATTCGTCGAGATAGTTCCGAAATTCTCGACCACCAATTAAAATCAAATGAAAATTAATTATTTTTATGTTAATTAACTATATTTCTATACAGGGTGGTTCCAAAAGTTTTCGAATCATTTTAAAGATCAATTATTATTTGTTGTCAAGACTTTTTATGTTAATTATTTTTAAATTGCAATACTACAAAAAGTGTAGAAGAGTAAATTAATATCAAAAATTTGTTTCATCAAACTAAACTCGAGTTAATTTCTTTAATTTGTTTCTAACGATCAGAATTTTCGAACGAATTTGTAGAAATTTGAATTAGATCTTATCGAGAAGCGTCTAAAAAGATTAGAATTAGAATAAATAGACTTACGCCTCACAATACGGCTGTTTGTTGAAGCCTTTGTACGTTCGCATGTTCAAGGTCATCCCGCAACCCTGACACTTGAAGCACTGCTTATGCCATATCTGAAACAGAAAGTAGAACGTACTTTACTCTTCTGGTTAAACTTGGACACACAACATGAATTGTGAGAATGCATTTCTTAAAAGGAGTGTAAGACTTAAAAAGAAAAAAATAAGAAGAAACAAAAGCAGAAGAAGAAGAAGAAGAAATGATAGATCGATCATTAAGTGTTACGAGATAAATGTCATAAACGTCGTAAAGAAGGATCGAGAGATCGAGATAAGAATTGATTTAAAGCTATCCACTTGTATCTATATATCTTTCTCTTTTTTATTCAAGGTCACGGATCGGCTTTCAACCTCCAACTTGTTAATTGCTATTAGAAGGTCGAGTATATTATTCTCTTTCTCTCTCTCTCACACTTTTTCTTTTTTAAGCATGCAAGGAAAATCGTTTAGAATTTCCACGAAGGAAAAGTTTCGATCATTGAATGATTTAAAATTATAATGACGTCGTCGTTCTCACGGCTCGATGATTATCCCTGAACTAAAGGATGACTAAGCCCCAATGATTCTCACCGGACGTGCTTATCCGACCACGAAAATGTCGTTTGACCATTTTTGTTGAGAATACGAAACACACTAAAAAAGAAACTAAAAAAAAAATTCTTTTTTAATTTTATTTTTTAAATGATTAGATACATATCAAATTTTATTCGAACGACTGTTGAATGAACACGTAAGTTTAAGTTGAAAGATGTTAATGAGAGAACTTTTCGAATAGACTAGCAAGCTTCCTGCCATTTATTTACTCATGACAGAGATCTTCTCACGAAACTTGGACCGCTGTTATGAAACAACCTCCTCGTTGTATGTAATTATTGTCGAAACTTAGAAAAATGTTTAAAGAATTTTTACGAGTGAGAAAGAGAGAGAAAGAAAATTGGCCAGTGAAAATTAGAAATCGTAGATCCTCCGATGATTAATTACGCAAACGTGTCACGTATAGAAATTTGTAAATGTTGTTTTAGCATAGAAATGTTTGCTTTAAAATAAAAATTGTTCCCAATTAATTAACAGTGTTTAGAATTTATTTTAAACGGACTCTAATTTTTGTAGATTTAACTTCAAATACTTCAAAAGAATACCTTTTAATTAGCAAACATGGTTCACTTTGTAATTTGGTACAAAATGAAATATCTGAAAAGTGTGTGAAAAATAATAAAAAAAAAAAATAAAACATATATGTCTGACGACAAGAAGGTAACGAGAAGTACGAAATGTTTCGGATTGGGGATTTTCTCGTGTTAGAGGAGAGCAAGCAACAGGTTGGGATCAACTCCCACCTGTTGTAATCGTATGCCAAACCCACGCAACACAACACAGTACAAGCCCTGGTGGTAACTCGTGCCAATACGTATTTATTCAAGACCGTTTCTTACTAAAAGTAGATTCTGTCAATTTTTCCATTTGCCACCCTCGAATAAAAAAAGAAGTTACAGAAATGTATCTTTTTTTTTCTTCTATCGTATACTTCGCCATTTCCTTATTCCAATTTTTTTTGTTATTCCTAACAAAGAGATCTTTTTAATGCTCCGATAATCACATTTAACGCCGACAAGATGGCGCGTCAGTTAAATTGTGTATTAAATCGAATGACGAATCGCGTTCGCGAGTTCTCCTTTAATTCTCAAGTCATTCGAACGGTATTACATTGGATACCGTTATTGTTGAATTACATACAGCATTCTTAAACAATCTTTAACAGTATTTTTACTCACAAATACTGTCTTTCCGATTTCAAACGTGATTTATATTACATTTTTCTTTATTTTCGCTACGAAACTCGAAGTAGATGGCGCCATAGTTAACTCTATACTTATCCTCCATTTTTAAAAATACATTCAAATGATTCTGATCGAGGTTCGCGTTAATGTATGAAATAATTTCTAGGATAAAATTAACTATTTTTTGTATACTTTTATTAGAAGAAAAAAGGAGGAAATTAGTTTTGTGGTATTTGTTCGGTATAATAAAAACGGACTAACTTTCTATATCGTGGAATGACTCGCGTAGTTGAACGGACACAACGGTAGTCGAGGTCGTTGAAAATAAAGAAAGAAAGAAAGAAAGAAAGAAAGAAAGAAAATAAGAAAGAAAAAAATAAAAAGAAGTAGATAATTAAATGAGTAATAGTCTCAGCTATTAATGGAGGGACGTAAATTAATTAGAGGACCGTGTTTCTTCACGAAATGCGGGTTGCACACTTTCGAATTGATAAACCAATTGATGGTTGAGAATAAAATTAGAATGTTCGAGAACGATACACTCTTGTGCCCCCTCCGAGTACAAAACACAAACAACAAATTTATCTTTCATTCGAATATTTTGTTCAAATTCCTAAATTGAAAGTGTTCTCGGTCCTCTGTAATAAAAGCCGACGACACAAGTAGTAAGGAAATTTAGAAAATCAATGGGAAAATCTTGATAGCTAATGGATCCAAATTTAGGATGACTTTAACGACGCCTTTTTTAGTTTGTAACACCTACGTAACAAGAGTCTCGCAAACAATTTCACCAATATTTTACTATTTATTTTAATTAATTTTTAATTTGTTGTTTGTGAGATATTATAATTGAAAAAAAAAAACATTTATAATTATAAACTTTAACGCAGTATTTGATATCGTAGGAAATATAAATAGGATTTAAATTTCCCACATAATTCTCAATCATTGGCGAACGTAAATTATAATAAACGTTTTACTATGAATATTAAACATACACATATATTGAATATTATTATATTTATCATATTTAATTAATGCAATCCAGGATTCAAAGTAATAATTTTTTCTCTATAAATACGATATGTATAATTTTAATTATATGTGTTATTCTTTACATTAATTTTTAAGTATTTGATCAAGAATTGTTAATAATAAATAATAATAATAATAATAATAATAAAAGTACTTTTTTATAACATTCATTTATATCCTTGAATATTATTAAATATGTTTTAGACATATATATATAATTATAATGAATAAAAGAAAATATTTGCTGACATAATTATTCTGCTAACAATACGAAAAAGAGAAGGAACAAAAAATGGGAAAAATTCTGGTTACTTCTAATGCCATTCACTGGCAATCCGGTATTGAAGACATCCGGTGAAAGACGTAGATTGGATTTGCGTCAACGTACGATCGAATTTCAATGGTAATTGAAACTTGGCGCTTTTCTAAGGATCTAACGATCTACGATTCGTCGCGCAAGAAAGGTTTTCTTGGTCAACTCGTTACAAAAAAAAAAAGAAAAAAAAAAAATAAAAAAAATAAAAAAAATATATGAGGTTTAAAAAATCGAAGTTGAAAAGTTTTGAGCTTCGACAAAGTAACAACCATTTCTTTTGTAATGAAAGTGCACATATGGGCATATAAAAATAATTGTTTCTACGTTAGACTCCAAATTTTTCAATCCAATCACGTGCATATATTTATTTGTTATCAACGTAACAGTAACTTCGACTCGAAAGTCAAAAGTCGAAAGATAAGAAGAAACTTTGTTGGAAAAGGAATAAAGAAAAACGTAATAAAAAATAATCTAAAAATGAAATAAATTATACTTGTCCCAGATTCTCATAAACGCGTGTAAGAATATTGAAATAAAACAAGATTAATTGTTGATCTGTCACGACTATATGTACTCGTGTTTCTCTCTACAGATGCATGATGAAACTTATGTAATTACTAAAATAAAAGATTGTATAAGTCATTAATGTATCGTTATATTACAGTTTATACAATTTTAAATAATAGTTACTTATTAAGTTATTATACTATTGTTTATATTGTGTGTTGATTATATTATAGAGTATTTTTTTATTAAATATATATAAATAAATAAAAAAAATAAACAATCTAAAATAATTGCCTAAATAAAATACTTGTTAACATTACTACAAAATATTATTGCAAGTAAACGACTCTAATATTTTGAATATACAAAATTCTGCCATTACTTATAAATAATAAGCAATAATAATACTTTTCCAGTTCTTTTTCTCTTTTCCTTTTTCTCTCGAAATCGAATCGAGAATAACTTATACGTCCTTGCGATTCGTCGCGAAATGAATTCTAAAGTCGGCCGCGCGCCTTCTCGAGAGACTCACGAAACCATGAGTCGAAATAAAATGAGACAGAGTGAGATAGAATGTGAAAGAGAGTAAGCAAGCAAGAGTAAGAAAGAAAGGAAGAGAAAGAGAAAGAGAGAGAGAGAGAGAGAGAAGAAAAGGGAGAGAGAGAAAGAGAGAAGAAGAGAAGGTAGAGAGAAAGGCGAAACGAAGAAAGAAATATAAAAAGATGAAAAGAGAAAGAATACAGTAAAAGAGTAAGATAGAAAGAGACAGAACATACTGAGAGAGAAAGATAAAAAGAGAACAAATATAGTAAAAAAAACAAAGAAAGAAGAAAACAAAATATGGTAAGATAGAAAGAGAAAGAACATAGTAAGAAGGATTGAAAGAGAGATAGAGAAAGACTATGGCAAGAAATATAGAGAAAGAGAGAACATAGTAGGAAAGATAGAGAGACAAAATGTAATAAAAACCGAAGATAGAAAGAGAGAGGATATGGTAAGTAAGAAAGAAAGTAAGAAAGAAAGAAACGGCTACATTTTATGTAATAAAAATTGAACAATAAATCATCGATTACAAAAGCGAATGAAAAATTACAAGAATAAATGACAAAAATAATATCTTAACATACCTTATCGAGACACTTGAGCTCCTCGATCGGATAAACCGTTTTCTCACAACGAGCGCACGTCTTGCTCATCTTCCTTCCTTTCCTTTCGTCGTTCTCCCAGTGGAAAATCAGAAAAGATGACGATTTACGAAACAGGAAGAGAAGAAAGGAAAAAAACCCAGGAAATAAAAGAGAAGAAATAAACTCTAACAAAGTACAATCAAACTAAACAAAAATGGATTAAGAAAATAATTGACAACAAAAGAATTGAAAAAAAAAAAATAAAGAAAAAGATTTATAAATAATGTGGGTTCTTTCTCATTCGATGTTTTATTAATCGAATTGACGAATAGAGAAAAACAGAGGAGGAAGAAAAAAAAAACAAATTAAAGGATAGAAACTTAGAAGAGATGGAGGAGGAGGAAGAGGAGGGAAGGAGGGACACGTGCCTTCTTGGCACAGAATAGACACAACAAGCACTCAGATTTATCGATGGTGATGACGATGACGTCGACGACGATTTTGTTTGATGTTGATTATCGTCGTAGACTATGCGTTCGATTACACTCTTTGCACGTTTTATTTTTTCCTTTAATTATTACTTTTCTTTTTTTCCCGCACAATATTTCGTTCGTGCTCCACTCTGATTTGTTCTTGATCCAAACCAAGAATTCGTGATGATGATTATAATAATAATAATAATAATAATAATAATAATAATAATAGTAGTAACACCGATAATACGAATTATTGTAACAACGTTCCTTTTCTTTTATTTCCTTTAATTCGTTTTTCTCGTTGATCGGAGCACACAAGACGTTACGATGAAATGAAATAAAGTATTTATTTACACGGTTAAACTTGAATTATTTGTTTCCGGAGAGCCGAAAATGCAGGAGCCACGCCGACACCAGCAGCATTGAACCGCACTGCGCCCTCTCGGTTTTTCCAGATCGTCTATTATTCCTATCTCTCTTTCTCTCTCTTTCTTTCTCTCTTTTTCACTCTTTCTAACTCTTCCTCCCACTCTTTCTTTATTTCTTTCTTTCTTTCTTCGGAACTCTCAACGTAGTCTCTGTAGGCTCCTGCCGCGAGCAAAAACTCTCGACAAGTGACAGAAATGGTGGAGGTACCACGTTGGTCAACTCAACGATCCTCCGATGATAGTAACTTGGTTCCTTAACAACCCGGATGTCGCTGCTGTCGTCATCTTTTTTTTTCCTTAATCGAATGAAAACGTCTCATTGTATGTATCAATCGGTAATGTAGAAATCGTTACGTATTACTTTTCACATAAAATATTTATGAACTTTTGTATTGACTTTATATATCATCCAGTTATTAAAGATTTAATTTATTCTTCACTTTTCTTTCTCTGTATTTTGTTATTTGAAAGCGTTTGATTTGTAGATGGCATTAGCATTCTACTACGTTAGTCGACATAATTACTGTTCTCGTTAAGCCGCCATTTTTGTTTTAAATCTTGTTTCCTAAAACATTGAATGAATTATTGTCAAATAATAATGTTAACTTAAGTTTTAGTTTAAAAAAAATAAATACACGAGAGCGATTTAATAAAGTAAATTTTTTAAAATGTATTTCTAACCTGATTTTTTTATGACTAGAATTGGAGATTTATTACAAAATATGTAGTGGAAAAGTATCAGCGGGAAATTCAAACCTTCATTATATCGATCATTATTAAAATAGTTCATATAATCTTATTTTATTGTAGAAAAATACGATTAAAAAAATAAATGAAGATGTACGATGTTAAATATATTGATTTTAATCTTTACCTTTTATAAATTGGTACACGATACTAAAATCTTTTTTTGATAAGCCATGAGTATTGAGTATTCTATAAATTTGATGAGCTAAAGAACCCAAAGGAATTAATGTATTTGTCCTAGTGGCAGCAGATTGAGCCAAACTTAAATCCTTTGCCATAAGAGATGTACTAAAACCACCCTAAAGTAAAATATCAATTATTTAGTTTAACAAAAAGTATAATATTTAATAGTCATCATTATTAAACAGATAATATACAAATTTTGTTAATATTTAAAACATTGTATATATTAATTAACTTACTTCATAATTTCTGGAACTAGGAACATCAGGAAGTATACCAGGAACAGGATTGTACAATTCCGAAGACCAACATCTTCCTGAACTGGAATTCACTATGTTGTTCAATACACTATCTTTCAAACCCAATCTATCAAATGCAAAATTCAGTAATCAAATAATAATTAACAATACGTTAATGATATTTTTCAATACACTTTACCTTTGACCAAGGTTGAAAATTTCGGCCGTACCAATCATATTAATAGCCAATAACATATTATTACACAATTTTGCTGCCTGTCCCATTCCAACATCACCGCAATGAACTATTCTCGAGCCCATAACTTCCAAAATAGATTTGGCGGAGTCAAAATTTTCTATAGAGCCACCAACCATAAAAGTCAATGTACCATCTCTCGCTGCATTTATACCTAAAATATAAAAATATAAACAATATATTTATACAATTCTATAGATAACAAAATTTACCTCCGGAAACAGGAGCATCGATAAATTTGGCTTCTCGTTTTTCAACCTCTTCCGAAATTTCCTGCGACACGAACGGGTCTATTGTACTGCTGTCTATCAGGAGTGCACCTTTTTTCACTGAACTATAAAAAATACAAATCATTGATCTAAGTTTGAGTATATAAAAACATACAGGATATTCAAAAAGTAATAAATTAATCGATGAATTATTTTTCGTTTGAGCCACGACTTGTGAGACACCCAGTATATCTAAAAATAAAAAATGTTTTGATATCTTCGATGCACTGATACCTCAATACACCATTAGCACCGGTATAGCAATTTAAAACGTGTTGACTCGAAGGTAACATAGAAATGAGCACGTCAACATCCTTTGCCGTTTCCGCGCCGGTCGATGCAGTTTTTGCACCAGCTTCAATCAAGTTAGAAATTGCTGATTTATCAACATCAAACACCGTTAATTGATAATCCTATAAAAAATACTTTTAGATCAAATCCTTATATTCCTAATAATGGTTTAAGTCAAAACTGGATTAAGTCCAAACATTGAATAAATTTATTGCTTAATTTATTTTTTATTGTAAAAAAATATATTAAAATAATATATTAAATGAAAATAAATAGATAGATATCAATATAAATTTTATGTAAACAATAAGACTCTCATATTGCTTCCATGCTTTTTTTTTAAATCTAACTTTCATTTTAAATTAATAAAAAATATAATATAATAAATTATAAAAACAATATTTTCAATATTTTTACAATTAATAGCATAAATTTGTTTAATAATCGTATAATCAATGTTATGTTGGAACAATCTTCGGAACGGTGATATTAAATCACTTGTAAATAATAAAATAAATTTGTGTTCAATTTTTCGACCTTATCCATCGTCATAATTGTCGGCACAATTTTCTTACCTTTTTTAAAATGTTTCTTGCCATATGATTACCCATATTTCCTAAACCGATAAATCCAATTTTGGAAAATCGACGCACACTTGTTGTACTCATCCACTTTGACGATTTTAAACCAAAAACGAGGAGATTCATTTTTTGTATCTATTCTTATTTGATTTTTTAATAATATTATTATCGTTGTCAATAATAAAAGCACTGTAATGTTCGTTCGCGATATTTTGTTAGAAATGATTCGTAGTATATATAATATGCTAACGAAATAATTTTATTTTAAACGCAAGTTCATTGAAAAACTAATGTATTCTGTAACTCGATAAATGTAAATGAAGATGTTTATCTTTCTTTTACGAGTCCGTTAAAGCATCGATGACGCTACCATAAGTTAAAAGAAAAAGTAAAGTAGAAACACGTTGAGCAATCGTACGATAAGATATTATACGGATCAAATATTTATTCTAATTTTATACTATTCGTATATATATTGATATAATATAATATTATATTCCCTATGTTACTTATTTACTAATATTACAGCGCGCGTTACAAAGTATTTAAATAATTAGAATTATAAAAAATAATAAAAACATAAGATTACATATTTCTATACTTAAATATAAAATATAAAAACAATTTAATAAACTTAATTCACATTTTTCAAATAGCACGTTAAAATAACGAATCATATAAAACTTCAATATATCCTGCAAATAAAATTAATTTCTTTGAAAGGTATTTTTCAAATCGCACGTTAAAAAATCGAATCTAACATAGCTTGGATAATTCTAAAAATAAAAATTAATCCCTTTGAAAGGTATTTTTCAAATCACACGTTAGAATCGAATAATATATACTCCAATGTTCCTACAATAATAAAAAATAGAAAAGAAAGAAAAACGAGAGAAATAAAGTGATGCCTTAGAAGAGTATTTATCAAATTACACGCTAACAAATCTAATAAATATTTAATCAAATAAATTACCTTCTTATTTTCTATTTTATATTATCATAATAATATAACGATGTCAAATATACGATCGATATTATAATATATATTTTTTTTCTCTTTTATTATAATTGCAGAGACTAATAATTCCCTGGAGATATGTTAGGAAGAGAGAATACTTTAAAAAGTATATAATACATCATTCAAAAGCTCATTCTATCGTAAATCACCTCTCCTTTGGACAGGAAGTAGATTACATCATATGCTTTTTTATCGACCTGACACACGTCATCGGTACATTTTAATTTTTCTCTATTCTTCAAAACCCCACTGCCGCCCCCATTATTTAAACAAGTCGCAAATGAAAAATCGTTATTGTAAAACAAAATGTAAAAAAAAAAATAAAATAAGGAGAGAGAGAAAGAGAGAATGTTGAAGAAAGAGAAATGTAACAAAAGTATTCAACAAAAACTACCCTTCTGATGCTTTTGCTGGTTCTTTTCTCTTCTCACCATCAGCCCCTTCTATATAAACAATGAATTTCTGAAATGACACCAATTAAGTTTTTACGATGGAATATCGAGAAAAGCAATTACACGTCATTAAATATTTACTTAATACGATATTTACAACATGACATTCAAGGATTTGAGATATTAGTGTTTACTTGTTAACTTCTTCATGTTAAAACTGTTATCTACGTGGTGTTAAAAGTGCTTGGAAATGTCATATCACAAGTACTTGTAAACGATGTCCCAGGTAGATACTTTCAATATGCTCTAATTATTTTCCCTTTTCTTTCTGTCTTTTTCCTCTTCCCCCTTTTTTCTTTACACTCATATACATCTCTCTCTCTCTCTCTCTCTCTCTCTCTCTCTCTCTCTCTCTTTCTCTTTCTATATATATATATATGTTTGCATATACGAGTATATAAGAACAGGATGGTAAAACCAACAAGTCGATGGTAGATTCTCGTCGAGTACACTTGTGTGCTGTTGTTATTGTTGTGGTGGTGATGGTGGTGGTGGTTTCGTATCATTCACTCACGTTTACTTAAAATCTATTTTCTTTCTTTTTTATAAAAGCTCTTTAAATGACATTAAAATCATTTATAATCGTTAACCAATGGTTCATCTAAATTATGTACGATAATGAGAGCATATTTGTTTCTTTATATTATACTGAAAGATATACGATTGTTAGAAAGCAGTGAGATCGTTCAAAAATTCATTGAATCGTCTTGGATTACGAAGAAGGATTTTAATTTTACTTTAAAAACGACTTTTCAAAATTCTGTTTGTTGCAACGTTTATCTACATGGTTAAGATTTCTTCTATAATTTGATTAAATGATTTGGATTATTTTTAATTTTTTAATTTGGATTTACTTTTTTTGATTTCAGATACCTCTCCGGAAATACATTATTTGTTTAAAAAATTTGTCGACTATTATCCTTACGATTATTCATTGAACGTTAATACTTATGATTGCTCGGCATATTTTTTATTGGGCTCTGCCGAGAAAGAAATTTATAATGATTTGAAGAAGTGAAGTAACCAGAATATTTTTACGTTCTGTTTTGTTTGAAATATTTCTATTTAAATTTGTAATGGAAATTTTCGTATTTATAATTTGTTTAATATTTGTATTCATTTATTTAGAATTCCAACGTTTAAATCAAGTACAGAAATTTTGGTCATTCTAAACAACAATTTAGAAATAAATTCGAATATCTTAAACGTGACGATTTATGGAAACGCAAACGCTAACATAATATGCAAATCGGGAATATGGAGTTTATCGGAAAATTATTTATTCCCAAGAATCTTTCAAAATGTCGACAAGTAGAAATAAAATATTTTCTATTAGACTAAAATAAACGATTAATTTAAAAAAAAAAATGTTATTAGGATCGCATAAGTATTGATATAAACAATAGAATAAAATAAATCATTTTTGTAGATACGAAAAATTGAAACAAGATGATGGAAAAGTGAATTTTCATGGCAGACAATTAAGAATAGTGACGTTTTATTGTCCACCAGTATCATATTTAAATCGTACGAGTATCAAAATTATCGATGACGTCGAAGAAGAAATATTTGACGCTGACGATGGTATTAATACTAAATTTCACAAATTAATCTAATTTAGAAAAATACATTTATTTCAATAATTTAGATCTCGAGAGAGATGGTATCGAGCTGAAATTATTCTTACTAATGGCAGAAAAATTAAACTTTACTTGGATCATTAAAAAATCGAAATATAGGTATTAAATTCAATAAATAACTTTCGTTTAATTGAAAATCCTAATTTTCTAATTATACTGAATATCATTTGGTCAAAAAAAAACACAGATACGGAAAAAAATACAACGAAACTGTATGGAAAGATGGATTGATAGAACCCATTTATAAAAATAAGGTACATTCAAACATCATAATTTTATATTGAAACGTTATAGATCCTAAAAAAAAATAAATTGTAAAAAGAATTTTGAGATCTTCTTTTCATTTTAAAAAATATACTGTTCACTTTTTATAGGTCGACATGGCGTTTGGCGGGATATGGTTGAACTTGGATCATCATAGTTTCGTCAATTTGACGGAACCATGGTACCAATTGTTTATTCATTTTTTGGTACCACGTCCACAACCAACAACCAGTTTCTGGGCTCTAACTAGACCTTTCTCATTAACAATATGGATTCTACTCGTCCTATCAATACTCTTACAAAGTATTTGCATGTTTATTCATGCTCGATTCAATCCACAATTTCCTGAACGTAAGATCAAATCAAATTTCAAATCAAATTTATTACGAAAACATTTCCCTTTTATTTTTAATAAAATTAATTCCATTCAAACACAGGATTTAAACATTTTTTGTTAACTCTGATCGAATTGACCGGGCGATTGTTGGGTTCTTGGGCACCGAAAAATATGGTCAATGTTAAACTACAATTATATCTTTGGCAAATGTTGGGATTGATATTGGTTACTGCTTATTGCAGCAGTCTAGCAGCTAAGTTAACTAATTCAGAATATGAAAAAAGGTTTGAAAATTAAATTAAACATTTTTAATTTTTCATCGAAGAAAAAGCACATTATTTTACTTTGTTAGCATTTTTTAAACTAACTGCGAGTCTAACTAGGGTAGAGTTTAATTTGGTTGTTTATGTGCACACAAATTTATATCACTTATAAAGGGTAATATGTTCTAAAAAGAAAAATGCCTATCGTGGTCACATACGGTCTCATAAAGCAATAATGTACTCACGAAGAAAACAATAATTCAATGGTCAAATTAAGAGGCTCTACTAGACCCTCAACATTCGCGAAACATTAACCTTTTTTTCGGATTATCAACTCTTTAAATCGCTGGAATACGCTTATAAATTATTCTGAAGTAGTAAACCATTTAATCGGGTATTTTTATTCCAAAACAGCCAAATTTATGAAAAAGATATATTAAAAAAACGCACACATATATAGCAGTAAATAATTATGAAAATTATATTTTATAATATTATATAATAAAAAATACAAAATATTTTTGTTATACTAAAAAAATAATGGACTTTTTTAAAATACACCTAATATTTCGAATTGATGATAAATAGCATTTGTTATATCTTTTTACAGGATCGACACGATACAACAATTTCTCGAAGCTAATTTGAAGTGGGGAAGGAAACCACCGACTCCACCTTTCAAAGAATATTTCGACTTAGACGTACGTCACACCATATGCACATTATTCAAATCAGAACAAAATCTAAGGACACCAAAAATTATACTTAATTTTACGAAGCAGAAAAACTTGAATTAATAACCCTCTTGTTTAGGATCCTGATGCCTCTCAATTGCCGAGTAGATATAAAGTTGTTGAAACATCGAAGGAAATTCATGAACATATAATTAAAGGAAATTACGCTATAATCGGAAATTTCGTTGGATCTGTATTTTTTCCCGAGGATGAAATTGCCAACGAAGATCTCAAAGTAAGACAATTTAACGTTCAAAGACATTCAAATAATTTTTTATCGCTTCTATTTATTTGATCAGTATTTTGTATTAATTAAATAAATAAATTATCAATACATACATACATGAATATTTTGTTTCGGTGATATTATATTATGTATAAAAATAAGGTTTCAAATGTAACAAATATTTAATTAATCGTCGATTGTTATTTGATGTCATTTTTTGCTGATGGTGGTGTTTGTCACCCTCTAGCATATTTTAAAAATCAACAAATGGGGCTAATAATATTAAAGACGAACAGGAAGGTGAAAATTCTTAAAGGAGTATTCAATAGATTCATAAAACAAGACGTATACTCTTACAATTAGTACTATTTTACAGAAATTATTATTGATTTATATATATTTAATCTATTTTATTATTCTTAATATAATTATCAATCAATTACTAATATTTGATTGCAAATACTAATTAAAAATACTGATTAAAAATATTTTTAAAATACTGATCCAATAAAAAGCATAATAATATAATCTATTAATTCGATTGTATTTGTTATTTCAAAGAATTACAGAGTGATGAAAGAAATGGTCGGAAAATTTTACGCAACTTTTGCCGTTCAACCATGGCTACTATCACCAATAAACAGGGTAATTCAAATAGATTTAATTTTATACCTAATAAATAATTTCTAAATCAATATTTTATTTTTCTTTTAAATCAATTTATTTTTTTTCCAGATAATGTTACGACTGAAGGAATCCGGAATCGCCACTTTTCATTTACAAGATGTAGTACGACGACGTGCTAGCTTCAATCTTCGAGAAATTCTTATAGAATACGATGGAAAAAATGGACTTAGAGTACTCACTTTGACACCTTTAGGAGCTGCTTTCTTTTTACTTTTACTTGGACTATCGATATCAACTCTCGTTTTCTATTTAGAAATTAAATATGCCAACAGATCCAAATCAATTCGTGAGAATTTACGCGACATTGATCGAAAACGAAAATTATACTCTCGATCTCCATTGGTTAAAAATTAATTAAAAATTAATATTATCCGATTTATTAAATATAAACAATTTTTATGAAGTTATTACTGCTTGATCTTTAATAGTAATTAAACTGTAAGTAATCTAGTCATATTTCGTTGTTTTTGAGATATTTAGTTAATAGTTAATAAAATAAAAAAACAAAAAGTTAGTGCATTTGTTATTACAAATAAATTCTTTTATGTAATTTAAAAATTTGAAAAATAACGCGTATGTTTATGAGAACAACAAATTTTTAATCCATACCTCAAATGACTTACAATTAGACTACTTTCATTATCGCTAACTCAATTGATGTGGCAATATAACATTGCTTCATGCAGCAATATTATAAATATAGTTTTACTGAATGAATTCTGTATAATTAACACTGTAATAAGTATTTTCAACAATAACATAAAAATATTTATATCGCATCCATTGAAAACGGTTTCAATTAAATTCTATAATCAAATACTAGTCTAGAAAAATATCATTACTTTTAGTAGTATTACAATATTATATTTTCCTGTTATATATAATATATATAATAGGAATATATATATATTCCTGTTATACATATATGTATATATGTATGTATATTATAACCGTTTTACAAAGGATGGTTTTTTTAGTCATCAGGCTTGGTGATAAAATAATTGTACCTTTTTCACCTGCATTTAAAAGCCATATTTCGACTGCGTTTGTTTCCTAGTCATCCGGTTAACAGCCCATTGATTCTTCAATTCCACTTCCATGGCCTTAGCTTGGTGCGCTAAGTATGTAATTTGATGTTTCTTTTTTGATTGGAAATTAATTCCACTACTTTGCATAGACACAGGCCTTTGTACAGGATCTTCTGTTAATGCCTTCACCAACCATTCCCTTTCATCAGGTTTAATATCATCACCACTAATTTCTATTATGTTAGCTTCTTCCACTTCTTTATTTTTTCTCTTTATACCTCTCTTACCGCAGAGATATTCTATAGCTTTCTCGTCAAACGCTACATTACCTTCCGCGTCTACGTTATATTCTTGTTCAGGTATAGGTAATTTTGGACCAACTTCTGCTTTATTTTTAATTAATATTTCATCTCTTGGTAGATTAATGATATTACTTGTCAACGTTAAATTAGAATTTAGAACGTATTCTTCCGTATTATTGTCATCTATGATACTATTTACACTTGTATTATCTTTTAGTTTAAATTCATTTAATTGTTTGGGCATTGATACAGAATTCCTGCTTTCCGTGTTCTGCAAATTTGAAGATTCTATATCTGGGACAGAATCTATTGTATTCAAAGCAAAGAAATCTATGCCAGATTCCTGGTTGTCAGTTTCACTTGTATCGCTTTCTGCTTCGTCTTCAAAATTTGTTTTGTAGTTAGATTTTATTGACTTATCATTGGGTAATACAACCTTTTTCGTCGTAGTCGATGTCAATACTTTTTGTGACTTGGCGACAATATTTGGTATCAGAGGTTTTTTAACCTTTTGTTCAAACACTTTAGGTGGCGGTAAGAGAGAAAAAAGTCCTGATCCTTTCTGCAAATGTTACGAAAAAGATATTAAGAAACAAATTATATTATAAAAAACATTCTAAAAATTAAAAATCATCTTACATCTATCGATGCAACTTTACTTTGCTTTTTCATATCCTCTTCGTCGAGATCCTTGAACTGAAATCAACAAATGTCAAACGAATGAATACTTGTTATAACATTTTACAGATAAAGTAATATTTATTTTGAATATACATTAAATCATCAAACTTACTTCACACAAAGATCGAATCATTATTTTAACTGGCTTTTTTGCTGATCTTTTGTCTTGTCCCATTTCCTTCTTAACTGCAATCTTACCCATTTCCTCATCCTCCTCTTCTTCTACATCCTTCAAATTAATTGGCTCCGATTCAGTATTTTTAGGTCTCGGCAATACATTCCAATTAATTTTAGATAATGATTCATTATTTACAGATAATTCTACATTCGTCTGATATTTAGGTTCAGATAAATGTAAATCTTTGTTTACAAAGTTGGTTAGAGAGGTTATTTCACATTTACTATTATTAACTTCAGTCAAATTATCCTCTTCATTTTCAGAATTATCATCACTACTATAGTATGCTACTAAACTCATGTTTTATTATTATATTTGACATATACGAAGAATTGAAATTAAACGATTTTATAAATACAAGGTTACAGTGACAATTCAAACTCACATAAGATCCATTTAATAATCTTCCACCTGAATACTTTACGACCGAAATACCATCTGATAATCGATTTCAATAGTTATCTCGAAGTGACAATCGAAGCGCCATCTGATATTTAATTTCAAAAGTTCAAACTTGGAAAGCACGCTTACTTTATTATTTCTTTTAAGAAGACGTAGGCTTTTTTTTGATTGGATGTCATGTTCAAAAGTTATAAATTTTTTAAACTTAACATTTCAATGCAAATTAAAATTTTTTTTCAAACAGCTACCATTCTACAAAAAAATTTTTAAATGCTTACCCCTACGTCAACTGATAGCTATTACCTTTCTTAATAATAAACAATTTGTTTTTTTAATTTCAGACAATGCCTTACTAAAAAATCAAGTACCCATTAGAAAGGATTTTCAAAACAGGGCTCTACATATCGGCTTATGTCTCCGCTATGTTTTCATTTCTTTTAACTTTTAATATTGTAAATTGTTCATAAAAATACTATGTATATATGTAAAATAAAGATTATTTTATTATATTTAATGACTGTGTTAAAAAAAAGTTTATTCTTATACCTATTTTACCGAGGGCCAAGGTGGGGCATAACCCCTTAATTATTAAATATTAAAAATTTATGTCAAAATTATATGGATTAATACACATTATACATTTAACATAAAACAAAATAAAATATTAAATGTAATAAGAAAATAAAAGATATATAGATATATATATATATATTTATGTATAACATTAATATAAATAATGTAGAATTGATATATTTAATTAAAATATTATTAAAATTGTCTATTATATAATACAAATTTATTTTCAAGATTATCGTAATCTTTTTGTTTTTTTTCAAGAATAATTTTAGCTTCTAATAAATTTGGTGGTAGATCATGATATTCACTTAAAATATTATCTAATTTGATATTTTCTTCTATCATAGCTAAATACTGTTTATACTTTTCTAGTATTAAATGTACTTGTAAATCATGGACTTTTAAATTATCTAATGTGGCTGTTACATTTTCTAACGTCTGATTATATTCTTTTAATTTCATCTTCATGATGACGTCTTGCGTGGAGAAATCTTCTAAATCTTTTTCTGCATTGGATACAAAATCAACAGTGGATTGTACAACTTTCAGCATGGAACTAATTTCGTTTTGAAGGGATCCTATTCTTCCATTTAGAAAATTTAATTCCATATTTATTTCTTTCAAAGAAATATTGTATTCCATATTGGCTATGTTTTTTCTTCGTTTGATGATATCCAATGACGTTGTACTTAAAGATGACATCTCTTCTGATCTCATAATCATAAGACTTTTGTTTAATTCTTCATTCTTACTTTTGTCTACAGTTTGTGGTTCTATGTGTAATCTGTAGAATTTAGATAACTCCTTCTCATATGCTATATTTTCTTTCTTACATTCCTCCAATCCTTTACGCAACTTTTGCAATGCATCATTTTCTCCATGCAGTTTATCATTTTCTAGTTTTGTATTAACATACTCGCATTCATATTCATAATCATAGTCACAAGTTCTTGCAGATTGTGGCTGTTAAAAAATGTTTAATTTTTTGAATTATAATATTTACTTGTCATGTTTTTTACAGTTAAAAAAACACAAAAAACTTTTTGCACTCTTTTTGTCAAATAGAGAACAATCAAATAAAATATTTTAAACAAACTCCATTTAAAAAATAAAAAATATATTTAAAATTTATTCTACCTTTTTGGTATCCATAGTTATCTTCAACAAATCATCAAATTAAATTCGAATATTTCTTCCTTATACGATTTGATATGAAGTCTTGAAGATAACCAAAAATCGTAGCACAAACTAATTAATACAAAACAAAATTAATTATAAACGTCTTGAAACAAACATAAACGACTACTACTATTTTTTGAGTTCAATAAGACTAACATTGTTTTGAACGACGCGAAAATAATCAAGGAACTTTTGATTTATCTAGAAACTTTAGATCTACCTTAGAACATTTAACCTATCTAGGAACTTTTGATCCCTTTGTATATGTGTTTCCTTAAACATACCGTCTATGATCACAGTTAACCAATTAAATACGACCCCAAACTCGTTAATGTTAGATTAAATATTAATCATGAAAATGGTTCTTAAGGTTGGTTTTTGGTAACGGTCAGACATATGACTCTGCATGTGACGGGATTACTGTTTTTGAAGCACCTACGTTGACAGTCGATTGTTTTTGGACAAAAATTTACTGACCAAAGGAAATTATAATTTACGTTTGTCATTTTCCATTTAAAATTTAAAATAATAACTTACATAGTCATTGTTTACAAGACATTACCAGCTTATTTTGCATATGTTCTTTAAAGCCAGAGCATAGAAAGTGAACAGTGTATCTGAGAAATATAAAGTTAATCGTGTAGTATAATAAAGTCGCCAACAATGAGCGACGATCAGACAAACGAACCAACTGTCGAGGTAATTTATTATTTATGTGATAAAAATGACCGGTTAATTTTACCGCCATCTTAAACTAATCATCTCTTATCTTTACTCATATTAGATTTTTTCCCATATTTCACTAATCATACATATACAATATATATATATATACATATGTGTATATTTAGTATAGCAAACTAACTACACAAAACATCCGAACTACGTTTTTTCTTTGTAATTACATATACCTGTATATATATGTAATATGTGTGTATATATATATATATATATATATCCAAATATATCTAGTTTTGCAATCACATAACTTTCTTTAGCTTCTAGAAGAATATTTCATAAAGAACTAATTGAATGTTATAATTTTTGTTTTTTTAGTTGTCGTCAAACGATATTGAAAAGTTAGAAGAGGCTAAGTTGAAAGCTAAATTTCCGAATGCACTTGGACGTCCTATTAGTGGTCATTCGGCATTTTTACAAAAAAGATTAGCCAAAGGTGTAAGTAAATATAAAATATTGTATAATATAATATAATATACATATATTTTGTATGGCGGTGGTCTGTAACCAATGGTACCGATGAAAAACATAATAGAAAATTTAAAATACGATTTGTTCATAAAAGGCTTTGTTTTAAAGAAAAATAAATTTGGAAATTTGTCGAATATGCATGCATTTGATTTAGTTTTAACTTGACGGATGTTGCTATCTTACCTTTAGATATTACACAGAACATTTCTGTAATTCTTAATATATTTACAAATATTATCTGTACATCTCTTACATTAATTGTACTCTTATGCTTATCAAACAAGGCTTTTAATTTCCAAAATTGCAATCTCAGTTGCTTGTACCACCAGTTATGGAACACCCTATATATCATTAATGAATATTAAATATTAAAATTTTCCTATTTGATTTTTCTTATATATATATGTTTATCGGTATAAATAAAAACTAAGAATATAAAATGCAAATACGACATTAACAATTGCAGCAAAAATATTTTGATTCCGGTGATTATCAAATGGCAAAACAAAAATCAGCGGCTAAGCCAAAACCTGCTGGCATTTTACCAACAGGTGATGCTATTCCTACGCCAGAAACTGTGCCGCAGCGTAAAACTTCTATTATTCAACAAAAATTTAATACATCAACAACATCTTAAGGTTTTCACTATACATTTAATAGTAATAGTTGTTAAACAAGCCATCGTCTGATTAATATGGTTCGATTATACAAATTAAAAACAAATTAGTTAAGTATAGTTATAATTCTTTAGATAAAGAAAAAGGAAATAGAACTCTTATTCTTTTATCTTCAATTTTGTTAATAGCATGTTATAATATTATTCAATAATTTAATCATTTATCGTATTATTGCTAAACATAATTCTAAAATTGTCTTTAAAAAAAACAACAAAAATGAAAAAATAATGTTTCAAATATTTTAATACAATAAGTAGTGTAAGATCCATACATGCAATAATTTTTACCTGACTTGTAATTAAATGGTTAGAAAATATTTGACCTAATTAAGAGATATGATACGTTTTATAAATCATTACTTTTGTGTTTTATTTTTTTTTTATTTTTTACCAAGAAAATTTGAATCACAGTAATTCAGTTCATTTGATTATTACAAAATCTTTTCTTTGAATTTTTCCGATAAATAAAAAAATTCCAACTTTATATATATCATCTAATTTCAAAACGATAAATCTTATAAAATAAAAAAATATACATATAAGATACTGTAAAATTACGTGCATGACAAAAGTAGTAATAATGTACGAATGATTATTAATTAATAACGAATGAAAATAAATCCAGTGCTCTATCTACGCAATAGAGATTCAGGGTAAAAGATAATATAAATAATACAGATATGCATTTTAAAAGTTGCTGTGATGCACTTAGTAAGAGTATTTTCTTATAAGAAATTCAGGTTGTCCTAAAAATCTGTGTGCAAAGTAAGATGAATCGCAAAAGAAGCTACTCTGCTTTGATTATTGTAAACTATATTAGTAATATATTGCAATTAAAATAACGAGTTGTTTTTTTTTCTACCCAATTTTAAAAGAGCACCATTGTAATCTCATTGAAAAATCAAAGATTATAAATGATCTTATATTCTTAGTAATGCAGGCTGTGAAAATACTATTTGTGCTGAGGACTGAATATTTATCTCTTGGCAAGCAGACAACATATTAACACGTTTAGTGCCAAGCTTCTTTTATTGAACTTTAGACAACAATGATCTGTCAGTCGTAGAAAAACAAGAATGTTAGCCGTTGGTGATTGATGTGACTGATTGTGAGACAGAAAGTGTAAGGTTGGTCCGTAAAAATCGACGTGACATTTAAGTATTAAGAACAATAAAACATATTTACAAAAAGATCACAACTTAATTATATCAACATATATATTATTCATTCATTTATGTAATTATTTATTTATTTATTTATCTATCTATTTATTTATTTATTTATTTATTTATTCACAACTTCCATCATTATAAAGAAACTTATTTAAGTAAATATTGAACCATACCAATAATTATTATTATTATTATTTAAACATTTATGGGACATCAGTGACTAATTATGTATTTTCATTTGTACCTCTTATATATAAATTACCATTTTAATATTTACATCATACACACCATTTCCCCAAAATATTTCTTATATATTTATTTTAGATTATCGCGTAAGACTCCATTGATTTTTATATTTCACTTATAATACAACTTTATAATGCACATAACTGTAATGTAGAATAACACTTCATTCTTCCTTCTTAACGCTATCAGTACATTTTCGTTTGATTAACAAAAAAAATCAACCCTATAAATGTATGCAAATATCATATGAATTCATTAATGGAGAGAGAGAGAGAGAGAGAGAGAGAAGGCACTTTTTTAATAGGACCATCATAAATTTTTTCCTTTACTTCATGTAAGCGTTAATGAAATAATTTGGCAATAAAAAAAACTTAACATTAATTTATTTTAACGAATAACTTCGCGTATGTGCGATAGACTATTATTTTTTTTCTTTTCTTTTTTTTTTTGCAAATACAATTGTTCCCAATAAATGGTATTGTTAGAAAATTGTTCAAAAATTACTGTCAATAATTATCAAAATCTCAGGAATAATCGGAATATTATTTTAAAAAGTAGACATTTTTCAGAACAAAATAAATATCAGATCTTTCAATAATTCCTCTGCATATATATATATATATATACAAAAAAAAATATTTCAACTTTTAGACGGATATGAAGAATAGTTTCTTTTTTGTTCCTTGTATATGAAAGATAATTCTATAAGTACGTGTAATATACACACGTACATATCAATTCCATAATATTGCAGATATTCAACATATTAAAGCATCTGATATAGCGTTTAATCATATCGCAGATCGATATAATCAAATTGTTTAATCCCAATAAAAATGTCTCATATGCTGAATTATTGTTATACATAATCGAAAATATTCATTATTTATAACTATAAATGTACCTTGAAATATTTTTCATTGATACATTTCTTCGATCAAATTAGCGTACATATTACTGACAAAATTTCTTTTCAGTTTCAATGTTGGACCTAATTCTCCCGTTGGTACTGAAAAATCGTGGGGTAGAATACGGAATTTTTGTACTTTTTGTGCATTACTCGTTGCTTTTGTATTAGCTCTTTTAATAGCTTCTTCTACTTCCTTATATACCTAAAAAATAAAAAAATAATCTTCGGTTAATATCAATTTAATATCGGTTTAATTATAAATCAAATTGAAATGTGTTCAGGGAACATATTCAGAGAATATTTACAAGTGGATCTTTTGAATTCACGATTTCGCTGACCGTCTTTGCATTACTTCCTATAGATTTTAACCATCTTAGGGTATCTGAAGTCAACTCGTCTAATGGTTCACCAGTATCTACTTTTGTTTCAGCCTAGAAAAATATTAATATTTATTTTTATTTTGATATTCTTATTTAAAACAAGTTTTTTAACGTATCAATCGTAATCTACCTTTAATGTAACTAAAACAGTTAGATATTTTCTTTTATCTCCAATTAGCAAAACATTGCTAAGAGCTGGTAATTCAGATAATATTAATTCTTCGATATGCACAGGTGGTATATTTTCCCCACCTGCTGTAATAATCAGCTCCTTTATTCTACCTAAATAAGAGCAACAATGATGATCATTAAAATAATATCATAAACAATAATAGAAAAAAGTAAAAATAATAATAATTACCAGTAATGTATAATATGCCGTCAGCATCTAATTTGCCAAGATCACCACTGTGCAACCATCCTTCTTCATCTTTAGCTTCTTTAGTTTTTTCTGGATCATTCAAGTATCCCATAAAAATATGTCGACCGTACATACAAACTTCACCTTCGCCACTTTCGTTAGGATTTTCTAATTTTGTACGAAAACCAGGTAAAATAGTACCAACACTGCCTAACCTAAATATACAAAAAATTTTATATATTTTTATATAAATAACGTAATGTTCTTAAATTTCTTTTTTAATTTTTTTTTATTTATGTACATTACCTACAATTGTTGGGTAAAGCTAAACTGTGTGGCCCACTGCATTCAGACATACCAAATGCCTCCATTATAGAAATATCTAGGCTCACAAAATATTTTTTAACTTCTATACTTAAAGGTGCTGCTGCAGTGAAGAAAAATCTACATTTGTCTAAGCCTAAAGTTGTCTTAACTTTATCGAAGACAAGCCATTTAGCTATAACGTAACCCCAATGTTTATAATCTACACCATTCATTTTGTTCATATTATAAAGAAGACCTTGTGCTTTAGCCCAACTTGCTATCCATGTTTTGACACGTGAATTATTACGCGCTACCAATTGCATTTTCTCATAAATTTTTTCCCAAACTCTTGGAACACCTAAGAAGGCAGTTGGCTTTACTGCAACTAATGTTTCTACCAAACTTCCTTTAAGAGCATTTTTATCAGCAAAATATACCGTGGCTGCTAAAGACATAGTCAGAAATATGTCAACTAACTGTAATTATAAGACGATATTCAAATTAATTAATTTGCTTGATGATTATTATTAATTCATTTCATCAAATTGATATCCCTTACCTGTGCTGCAACATGTGATAATGGTAAATAACTAACCAAAATTTCCTTAGCAGTTTCAAAATCGACACGTTTCTTAGCGGATCGTACATTGTGTAGAAGATTGTCATGATTTAGCATAACAGCTTTTGGATTACCAACTGTGCCAGACTAGAAAATTCAAAATATTTGTCAATACAATTGAATAATGCGTGTTAATAAAATCTTGATTATATCATTTTACTTACAGTGTATACTAATGTACAACATTCGTTAACTCCAATAGTTTTTAGAATAGATTCTAATTTATCATCGGATTCTTGTTTACCGATTTCTAATAGTTCATGCCACTGAAAAAATACAAAATTTATAATATTTTATTAAAATAATTGAATATATGTATATTATACTATTACATATTCTTACACTTAACACATCTTTCTCTTTAGGGATTCCTTCGTATTGAATAATAGCAGTTAAATGGGGCAAATTTTTTCTAATTTGTAATATTTTTTCCAATTGTTTGGAATCCTCAACGACTATTATATTCGCTCTACTGTGTTGAGCACAATATTGACATGCTTCCGCAGAATTCGTCGTGTAAATCCCGGCAGCAAATCCTCTGAAACATTTATTATGCATATTATGATTTATGACATTTCAATAATGTTATACATTTTTATTTATTTAATTTCTTACCCGGCATATATAGCAGCGATATCGGAAATAAACCATTGTGGACTATTAAATCCTAAAATACAGACGCTATGATATCTCTGTAAACCCAGTTTTAAAAATGCCTTGGCTACGGTTCTTACTTCAGTCTCATATTGCCTATAAATCATTTTTTAATAGCAAACAATGAATACCGTATACGTAATGTACATAAAAAATTCAAGTTCACGATTGATAATATTTTTAAAAAGCACTAACTTATAAGTATATGTTGTATTTGTACCATCCAGTCCTGGTTGTGATACCAAAGCTAAATGATCAGGATATTTCTTGGCTATTGATGATAAAAGACCAGGTATGGAAATAGGTAAAGTTGCATTAATATCTTCACCTAATTGTATCCTAACTCGACCATTAGCTTCGGTTGTTACATCTACATCCGTCATTAACACCTGATCTGGGCCTAAAAATTATAGAGAAAAAAATATTAGGCATTGTGATCATATTTCGGAGAAAATATGTATATGATAGAAATTTACCTTCAAGGCCTGTTTGACTAGCTACCGCATATCGAATATGAGGCTCATTAAGTCCCTGCAATATACAATAAATAAAAAACATATGTTAAATCATAATAAATAATATAATAAATAAAGAGGACAGTATGTTTAGATAAATGAAAATATAAAAACGTTACCTTTTCACTCCTGTTATAGCCATTAAGAATATTGTTCAATGAAATAGGCTGCACAGCAGTCATATTTTCTGTAATGTAATAAAGAAAAAGAATAATTAATGAAAATCCTAAAATCATTAGCGTCTTACTGCAAAATCAGATTCATCTTAATAGCCATATTTATCCAATTTATACGTTTATCATTAACTATACCAAGAACAACATTTAAAAAAACATAATTAAAAAACAAACTAGATGTTCGTTATCAATCAGATAACATTTCTAGAGATTTCAAAAATATTATTAAGATAACATGAATTCAACTATCCCGCGAAATGTATCATCCAACATTTTCGACCCATTGCGATTTATCGAGTTTCCACTTGGTCGATTAATGCCGCAAAGGAGAATAATACTAACGTAACTAAATGCAGCAATGTTATTGTAATGTAACGGTGTTTCAGACTAATGTTTAGCATACTAATTAATCGAAACGAAAGGAAAAATACAAATATGATTATAATTATATTTTAAAGTACATAAATTAGAAACTCAATTCAAATAGAAGAGAACTAATGACTCGCGAAAGATTAGCGCTCATTTTACGAGAAAAACAATCCGTCCATATATACACGATGATAACAAAACATTTTTATTTTTTTATCTATTGCCATACGTAACGCACATAGCCCGATGTATGAGCAAAGTCGAAGACTAAATTATCTTTTTTTTTCTCTCTTTTTCTTTTTTTTCCTTCTTTTATTCTGACATTTTATATAAATCATGTATTTTATATTTTCGACAAACTTATTTCAACAAATTTACTATTTTTCGACAAAATTTAGACCATTTTGTACAAAAATTTCAAAGTTAATTGCGTGTGATAAGCAATATAATTTGCTTTTTAAATTTCCAGCTTTTCTATTTTTAATTTTTCCTTTCCCTATTTTCCTCTTCGTATATTGTTATAATTTTGAAAAAATACTTTTTTCAAAATCCAATTTATTGTTTAAACAATGATAAATTTCTATCAATCAATTATACGTTGATTGCATTTTACAGGAACCATTTTTATATCAATTTAAGAACATTCTCTCGCATAGTTTTTTTATATAATTTTTTAATAAACTCATAATATTTTTCAATAATATCGATCAATCGACTGATTAATATAACTATGATTAATCGAAAGAAAATAAATAAAAACAATCGCGTATAGTAAAAGCATGTTTGACTAATACCTGTCACATTAATTAAACTATATTTCATAGTTTTATTAATAATTCGTATTTTTCAATCGATAAATAATACGATGTTTTTCTGTAAACGATTGATGAATGATATTATCAATTAATATTTAAAAACACAGTAAATATAGCTACGCAAAGAACTCAAAGTCCACATTACCGAGTACGTAATACATTGTACATGCTTTCTTTTTCGCGTTTTGTTTCTTTATCTAAAAAGCAATGCGAATTAAACGATAGATAATTCACAACTAAAATTTTAAAATCAAATTTTTGACTTAATTTAATACCTTTACAAAGTAGAATAACCATGGTTTTAACGGTTTACGCCCGTCTCGTGTATGTCAGATTGTACTCAGAGAACTATTGAACTCACAGAAATCAATAACAAAATATCGGACCACCTTTCGGCGCGACATTTCAAAATATGCTTCCTACGTTCTCTTTTATTCCTTGTTTGAATTAAAAACTTTCTATAATATATTTATACATATTATATTATGATTTTGTATCTGATGACTACAAGTTCTGTTCAACATAAATCAATCAAAAATTATATTCAAATTTCAGCCGTTTATCTTGGAGAGCATGCCCAAGTGCGCAATCACTTTTTTATATTTGAATAACACAAATAATTTTAATACTTTTATGTATTAATTATTGTATATGAACCCTTTCGTTTCTATCGATCTATCGAGTTGTCTATGATGCGTATGTACAAGCAAATTTATATGTGGAACGATACTATTGCACAAGCAATAATGAAAGAGTTAATTATTGATAAATTAATTAACATTATAATACTAACATATAATTATAAAGTAAATAATGTTAACTCTAGTACAAATTTTATAGCCAAATGTTTTTAGGTTCACGAAATATTTGATACGAATTCCCAAAATTTGTTTTATCATTTTTAAAGTTTTCTACTCGAATTATTTATTTCCGTTTATTAGATTATAAGATATTCTTATCTTATGTAACAATCATGTTATTACACAAATATGTATCTTTTAAAAACAAGAAAATTAATAATAATGTTGGAAAACACGTGCAAGTAATTTGCATTAATTATGTGAAATCGAGTATGACATATTTATTTTTTTTCTTTTTAAATAATGTTTGGATGAAAATATCATTAAAATATTAGATAATTGCTTTCATATTAGATGACTAAAGAAAAAAAATACAAACACGCTATCAGATAGTATTATATAATACTACAATAAGCTAGTAATCGTTGATAATGTTCACGTACTTTTCCATTTTCTGAATATTTCTGCATATTATTCATAAGAAAAAAAAATATAAAGTAACTGCGCGAATTGTAATATTAATAATAGTATAAAGGATCATAAAAATAATACAATAAGAAGAAGCAATATTATTTTAAGTTATAGAAATCAAAATATATCATTTTAAATTAACTAAAGTATAATTTTTGGTTTCGGATCCACTAAAAACATGAAATATAAATAAACTAAACTTAATCGGTATAATAGACCACTGCTATAACACGGAACTAAATATTGCCTAAATTAAAAAAAGTCTGCTTTAATTACCTATTGCCTAAATTAAAATAAATTTTGAACTCCTGCTTTAATTAACTATTGCGTAAATTATTGAATATATTAACGAGTGAAGTGCAGTAATTACACACAATGTTATTCGAAATGAATCTTTTCACTGCCTTCCAGAAACTGACTACAATTTATCTAGGATATTAATTAAATATATAAATCTTTATAAACATATACAGAGCAAATATTAGTAAGTATTAGTAAATATTATGGAATTTGAAAGGAAGACAGAAAATCCTATACTGTAAATAGCCTTTACTGTGTAGTTTGTAATTAGATTTGTTTACTATTTACATTTCTAATGACTTTTATCCTCAATCGCGAAGAGTTATAATTAAATAAATTAACGATAGTTCATTTTAAATTATAATATCAAATTTATCAAATAATATTGTGTGTAACTAATTGAATTAATCTGATTGTCCTTTTCTTTAACGATGACTGCACTCATTTATAGTCGCACGCATGCACGTTAGATACCATAGATATATTTCACTTGTAATTCTGATTTTAAAAATCTAATTGCTTTGCGATCGTGATTACATTAATCCGATGTAATTTCATACAAATGACTAATTTACATAAGGCAATTTAAAAATTATCCAATATTCTATAAGCAGTAAAGTATCTTTTCAGTACTAAATTATAATACGTGTATTATAAAACAAAACTTACAATTAGATCATGGTTTTTAGAAAATATGGAAATTCTATATAAAAAATGTGGTAATATTATATTTGAAATAATTTGAAAATGAAATAGTAACAATTCTTGAAGAAAATCATTGATTTCATTGATTGCTTGTAGCAAACGTACACATACGTGCGTGCCCGTAACCAAATTAGTACTTTACCGACCACTAGCATTTTAACAGAATACACACGTCCAACCGGCCGCTCAGCCGCAGATTCTAATAAGATTCTAATATCAAATTACTGTTCATATAATGATAATGATTGTTCATTACCATATCAACCGATTAATAAGTTATCGGTCGGCGACAAAAAGCTGATTGATAGGCTACCGGTCGGTAAGCGTCGACAATAAAAGCCTATTAATCCTTATCTTATAATTAAATAATTCATAATCTCATATATTTGTAATACTCTTAACAAAAAAATAAATAATTTTTACAGTAACGATATTCTTAAAACACTGAATTTATTTGCATATTTATAGAAACCAGCTATAACCTATTGAGAATCACATATATGAAACTGACGACTGATAAGTATTAATAAACTAGCGGTCGGTAAAGTATTAAATTGAATTGTTTAAGAACACATAATAAATGAGTTCATAGAACTGAAAGGGTACGATCAAGATCGAGTACTTGATTCGATGAATTTCTTGAAAAAAAAAAAAAAAAAGAAAAGAAACAATTTCATTTGCATAATACCATTTTTCTTTTTATTCCTAAATTTATTCGATGATCGCGGGATGAAAACTTAAGCTATTTATAAATTTATTAACTACGTCATTGTGTGTGTGTTCAAAGGTTGGTGAAACATTGAAGAGTAAATTGCAAATAAATCATGATCTCAAAACAATACAAATAATTTGTAAGATAAAGAATAAATTTTTGCAGAATATGTAAAAATCGGTAAAAAAGATCGTTCGATAACAAATTAAATTACACAAGTTAAAACAATTATACATAAACTTTATAGAAGTGAAACGAAAACAATTCTTTTACATCAAATATAAAATTAAAAAAAATTGTGTGGAAAGATTTTGAAATATTAATCACGAAATATTAGTTTCGAAATATTAGTTTCGAAATACTAGTTTCGAAATATTAATTTCGAAATATATACACATTTTATTTTTTCTTTTCAAGTTTTTATATAAAATACAAATTACGCAATCATTCATCGTTATAAATAAATTAATAAAAAAGTAGAATACAAATATATATAATTAAAAATAATTAGCAGATTTGAAATGAAAGAAAGAACATTAGAATATAAGTATATCAAGGAAACGAAATGATAAAGAACATTGAATTATAAACATAATTTCAATTTTGAACGAGAGATAAGAAGGTCACGCTTTTATCGATCTCTTCAAATGCTTTATTAGCATTAGTTTATATACCCAATTGTTTCCGTATAAATGTATATCTACCTGTGTATTCGTATGTATTACTATGTCGTATGTAAAGATTAGAAAATGTATTTTAATAAAGTAATAAATTTCCAATCACATCGACATTCGTATATGTGCATCTATTTTTCAGCTATTTGAAAAAACAAACCCAAAGAAAAACAAGGAAATAAATATAAAAAGATTAAATATTTGCATAAGCATGCTATAAAATTTAAATATAAATAGTTTAACAAACTAATCAAAATAGAAAAATAACACGCAATTTACAAATAGACTAAGAAATTGATTACCTTTAAAAGATAATTTAAATTAACTCGTTGACCTTAAAATTTATAAGAATACGACAAGAAAAATTGTTAGTCTGATTACAAAATATTAAAACTACTATATGTGAATATAGTATAGTTTTATAAAAAATAGGAATATAATATGTATAATATTAACCATTATATGTGTTCCATGATGTGTGCCGCGCGTATCGGGATGCTGGTGTAAATGTTGCGTGTCCGCATGTTTATCAATATATATTATTTACTTCACAGTATCGATAATTATACGTATAAAAACAATCTTACGATTAAACAATATTAATATATACGTAAAAGAATAACAGATAGATCATCCCGTTAATTAAATCTCATGTTTTTACCTCGGCATAATTAATAATTCTACACAAATCCTGCAACGTGTAAGAATGATCTTACAAATGTATTTTTCAATAAATTCAATAAAACAAAAATTTACATCTACTGATACGAAGTAAAAAATAATAAAAATACGAACAAAATTATTATGTATGTAATCACATTTAAATGCACGATCGTTTTATTTTTACATGCAAAAATCTACGTGGGTGGATCACACTAACATAGAATCATTTTTTTTATTCGATCAAAGTAACTTTTATTTTTTTAAATGCAGGTTTCTTTTCTTTTTTTTTACGAGGCTCATAACTTTTCAATCTACCCACGAACATGAATGAGGATCCATAAAAAATAAAAAAAGATTTAGGGACTAAATTCTAGTAATAAAAAGTGTAAAAACAAAACTAGCAGAAAGCGCCAAAATTTGTACAAATTGGTGTACGCGTATACACATTTATTTTTTACATTTTTTAATTTTTTTATTTTCTAATTATTATTTTTAATGTTGTTTATAAAATTTAATTTGAAATATTGCTCGATAACGTGATCCTACAGTATTTTGTGAAATCTAAATTTCATTAGCGTAGTAACTATGAATACGCGATCGAAGAAAACCGGAAAAAGAAAAAAAGATACTAGAAAAAATCCGCCAGTAAGATAATAACATCAGAAAATTAATCGCGGTTTCTCATGATAAATTATTAAACACAAACATATTATTAACATATACGTACGTATATAAATATATAAACTGACGTATTTAAATGAAATAATTTCATAAAAAGAAAAAAAAATTGATAACAAATATTATTTCACGATACGTTAAAACAAATTAAAAATCAATAAAGAAAATCTAAATTAAACTAATCGTAAATAACTTAACCTAATATCGATCGATCGATGATTAAGAATTAATAATGAAAAATTTTTAAAAGTTATTAAGACAAAAATTTAAACAAAACTAATCCTCATTCGTGACGATTTTGTTCAAAGTAGATCTACAATGATTTAAATGTATACGAGTGTACAAATATATTTAATGTTATTAGAATAAAGAAACTCACCTGTTTATTCTTTTTCGTTCTAACGACTTCGAACGTCCTATAAAAGTTTACAAAAATAACAATGGAAGATAAAGTTTTAGTTTTTTTTTGTTGTTTTCGTCGTTTATAAATACACTATTAAAATTAGTTATTTGTTCTCAATATCAAAGAACACTTTTGATAAGTCAGACGGTCACGCCACAAATGCCACGCATAAGCTTTGACTGGTAGAACACTAGGAGGAGAAGAAGACCACGTGGTTAAGAAAGAAATACGTGTACCTTGTAGAGTTTAGAATACGATTACTGGCATAACATTCTGTTCATTTTTCTTTTATACGTAATCTTTAATAAAGTCCCTCCCCAGAAACATATATCATTTATTTCATTCTGTGTCATTAAAATCTTTATTTTCGATTTTCAAATGGTTTGAGATATTTTGAATGATTAAATTTATATTAAATTTACATTGAAACAAAATTACATAACATTAAAATAAAACAAACAATGGAAAGGAAAAAGAGAGAGAGAGAAAGAGAGATCGTCAGGAAACATTTAATTACTTTCACGATTTATCAAACGTAAAAAAAGAAATAAAATAGATAGAATGATCTTTGAACTATGGTATGACAAGTTGTGTATCCAAATGTTACAAAAAAAACCTGTTTAATCTTCGCGATAAAACTTGTCTAATTTTTTAGACGTCTTTACAATTGATTATAAATGTATGATTGTAATTTATTTAATATTTAAGAAGACTTTAATATTTTATTGAACAAATATAAATATTAATGTAAAGAAAAATATTATTTTAACTTTACTATATATATATTATCGTTCGTATTCAAACAGAGCAGTCATTGACGCATGTGCAATCGTGCATTGCTAAAGTCCAGAATACATTTTTTATTTCCATATCTTTTTCTCCATCTAATAGTCGAAAAAATTTCTCAATATAATCTCCAATAATATATTTCTATTTATATATATTTCGAATTATATTAAGTGATATATCAAAATCGAATTAAAAATGCCTGGTACACCAATGGAACCAACTGGAGATACGTTGCAAAAATTACAAACGGAACGTCCATCGAACGGAAATTATCCGCAAGTAGTACGAGAAATAACGCAAACTGATCATTTAAATAAAAGATTATTGGTGTCGTTGTTAGAAAGAATGAAAAAATCTAACGGAGAGTTCGACAGTTTTATGGAAAAAGAAACGACTAATTCTCAAGAGAATGATGATAGCGAGTTTTAGGTTATGATTTATTAACTTTGTCGATCCAATTTTTCTTGAATAATTCGAAAGATTACAAACGTAGAACGACGAGATATTACTTTATTTTATTATTTTATACTATATTTATTTTTATTTATATTTATACTTTGAATCTGCAAATATTTGTCGATATGACTACGTTAGCAGATTTTTCTGATCACGAAGATGAAATATTGGCAGAATATGAGAGAAGAGATGAAGATAGAGACGAAGAGAAAAATGATGAACTTTTAAGCAATGTAGATGAAGATGAAGGAATAGATGATGTTTCAAGAAGAATTGATCCTTCCAAGCCGCAAAGGACCATCACTCGTAATCCCATACCTAAACTTAATACGGAACGTTTAAAAGGTCCTAAAGGTATACATACCATAGAAAAACATTTTGATGGATTTAAGTTTTATGGAAAAGGAAAGGAAAAAATGGATTTAGATCGCATCATGAAAAGATTGGAACATTGGGCACACAGATTGTTTCCTAAATTAGATTTTGATGACTTTTTGGAAAAAACTGAAAAACTTGGTTCTAAGAAAGATCTTTCAGTATTTGTGACCAAATATAGAAACGATATGATATCATTAGATGATCCTGAAATCATCCGGAATAATTTAAGCGACGATGAGCCTATGGATAGTGAACCTGCCGCCATTGATGCATTTGATTTATTAATTGCAGAACAAATTGAAAAACAGAAAGAAGTTTTGGTACAACATAATCTTGACAAAAATGATACATCTGTTAATGATTATCCCAATGATACATTTTTGGAAAATACATTTACTCAATGTTCTACTCAAACTGATAAAATCGCAGAAACTAGCGGATCGCAAACTAATACACCAGAGTTAAGCCATGAAATAAAGGAAAGAATTGAAAGAAATAGACTGCAGGCTTTAGAACGAAGAAGACTTGCTAAATTAAAAGCTATGGAAGAAACCAAAAAGAAAAATGAAATAGGAGAAAACGCAGAAATATAAATATCGAAATAAAGAAATGCAAATATCGCGAAAGTTTACGTTTAAAAAATGTTTACTCGTTTTATAGAGATAATGAGTATTTACGATATCCTTCAATAATTTATTCGTCCATCTTATTTCTTACATACAAAAAACAATTCTTAATATACTTATGTTATTTTTCATTAAACATTAATATAAATATAATAATTTTGTATGTTTCGTATGTTATAAAAAAAAGAGTATAATCATAAATAAATTATATTATTTCATAGTTACGTTCTACGTTTTTGCGTACTGATATATAATACATTATTACCACGTATAAAAGCGTCACCATATTTATCTTTTAATTGTCCATTAACATATTCCTCCGTTTGTTCTAGTGCTATATTCATGTAGCCATCAAGACAAGCTAATACTCCTATAAACATTCACACAATTAATACAATATTATGATTGTTCTTGTATTCACAAAATACAATTAAAATTAAAAAGAAAGTCAGGTTTATATATACATATACCTCTATAATCCACTCCGCTATTTAATTTAACAACAACAGGTCGGCCATGAATTTGTTGAATAAATTGTGACAATGCTTCTTTGCGGCTCATCTACGAAAGTAAATATTTGTAAATGATTTATAATCGTCGACGAATTGTAAAATATAAAATGTACCTTTTTTACATCTCTTCAATGAATTTTTTTAACATGCAAATATTGAAATAAAAATAATGATTAGTAAATAAATAAATGTGTACTCACGACTACTAAAATATGACAAACTTTAGACTTAAATTTTAAAGAGTAATTATAAGATAAAACGTTAAAACATTAAATAGCAAAAACTCAGAGAAAGAAACTCGATATTTAAACGAGTATTATCGATCGTCATAGTATTTTATTTGAACGACGTTAGGAGCGCAAGTATCGTAAACTTTAAGAATATAATATCATATAAAACATAAATTTTTATATTTAAACATACATATATTCAACAATATATATTTAAATATAAAAATATCATATTTAAATTGATCTTAAAAAATCAACAAGAACTTTTCGGGCAACCCAATAAAATGGAGTCAAAGAGTAGTCGCTAATTAAAAAGTTCAAACAATCGATTTAAATGCGATCTAATTTTTGTAATTAATTCCTCTTTGTCAAGAATAAAATTCAATTCGTAAAGAAATTTTGTTTACTTTCGACTAAACAAATTACATATTTTTGTAGATTAAATTATACGTTGATGTTGAAATTGAAAGCAAGATAAAAAAGAAAGAAAAAAAAATAAAAAGAAAAACAAAGAATAGTGTAATTCGTGGAAAAAAGACGATAAAGTGCAATTTCATTTGTTTTATTATTCACGAAGTACGTCATATCGTATATAGTTTTAAAGTAAGCATTTTTTACTTTATTGTCTGCTTTCTTGCATTTGTGTCTCCTAAGCTTCTTCAGAGAGGTCGATTTAATAGTGGGTTTATGATTCGCTAATTGACAATAGTTTAATTTGTGCGTGTTCTTTTCTGTTTTTTTTTTTATTTAAAAAAACCAAAAACTATATAGGATAAAGTATTTGAAAATTTATAAAGATTTTCATTTAATAGTTTTAATCAAACGCTTAAATTTAAACGAAAAATATAGATCATTTAATTACCAACATTGTCGCTGTTATTCTTAACAAAAAAAGAAAGAAACAAACAAACAAAAGAGAAACAAAAAGAATAGTGTTCATGTTTTTTTTTGTTCAGTGATACTTTTATGTAATAGTTTATATTACATATCATAATGAAAGTGTAATATTACACACGCGCGTATTATAATATTAATATTAATTATTATTTCGGTATATGAAGATTTCTTATATTCGTTTGATATGTTATATTGGTTGCCAAAAAAACGTTTAATAAAAAGGTAACAATTTCTTTAGTTTTACCATGCATGGTAACAAAGGATAAAGAATAAATACTTAATAGAATTAAGATTAACGTCTAAGTACGCGTGAAACAGACAGTTGATTATTAAACAGGGACAATATTCTAACACAAAAATAAATTCACATATACATATTATATATATAGATAGATAAAAAATAACAAGGAAACTATAAAATTATATGAAAAAACATTATATATAATTATTTAAATTATT